TCAGGAATTATTGCATGGGCATCGCCGCATCAAGCATATGAACCTGGGTGGTTTTTTTAATGGGATTGATAAACACACCCGCTACCTGGCTAAATACGCTCCTCAAAATATACACTATCTCAAAACAAACATAGCGTATACACAGCTGTACACTCAAAATAACTAGTGTTCCAATGTAGTCAATATGTGCTAAACTCCCCAATTGATCAATTACTATTAAACTAATATGAAATAGTTATCTACAATCATCCTCCTCTTAATCCACCGTGCCACGCCTTGGCTCTGCGTGTGACAGCTTAAATCAACTCTTTCGTTCTGCTCTTTCGCTAAAGTATCAATAAATACTCTGTTATCATTATTCTTCATTTGCGGTATATGCAGTCAATGACTAGACACCTACCTAGTTACACTAGGATTTGATTATTTTAATCTAATATATATAATTTAGAACATGGAGTTATACAGTCTCATCTAAGAATAATACAGTGTTAAAACAGATATATTATAGAAATTATAGCTATATATATTTATTTCAATAAAAATTTATGAAAAGAGATAAAGCGGATAAAAATAAAAATTAATCAGTATAATAGAAGATATGATTGTGATAAAATATTAAAGGAAAAAAACCTTAATAATCTTGATATTAAACAACAAACTTATAATAAAAAGAGTAATAATATCAAAGAAAAATATATATAATAATAAACTAATAAAAAGAGTAATATCAACCAAGAAACATTTAAAATAAGACTTTCTTTAAATTTTAATATATATTAATGATATAAATTAAATAAGATTTTACTTGATTTTGAAATTTATTCTTTAACAAAAGGTTTTATTTCTTTTGTGCAGTTTATCACATCTTTATTTTCAGATCATCTTTAAATAGGAAAACATATTTAACTGATTGATAGAGAATTTTCTAACACCTTTATTTAATGAATAGTTCATTAAAATATGATTTCAATTTTCAACTAAATTATAGAAATCACTTTTATTTAAGCTAATAAAATCTTTAATTTTTTTAAAAAAAAGAATTTAAAATTGCTATATTGAAGTTTCAATTATATTATAAAGAAAAAGTTTTCTTTTTACACTTTATTAAAGAAGATTTGCATTTTGATTTCATATTTTTTATATTGAACTTTTTTTTCAAGCTTAGGTTCTTAAATAAATTTTAAAGTATAATTTATATAGATTTTATTAAAGTGAATAGCTGATAATAAAATTAAGATCTTTATTTCTATTGCTCTAATAGAAGATGCTTTAAAAGCACTCAGCAATTTTTTTGGAACTTTATTATTATCTTTTTAAAAATAGTTCATATAGATTTTTGGGATTTTCCAATCAGATTTTAACTGTAAAATCGGAAATGGAAGCTGTATAAATCATATAATTATCTCATAGCTTGAAAAGACAGTTCTCTTTCAATATTTAGAATTCTAATTAGTATTTAAAGTTCTTCAGCCTGAGCTAATTTTTTTTAAATGAGAACTTTCAATTTAAGCTCTGAATCTAATCAACTTATTATCTCATTGAGTTTGGGTCTTTTATCTTTATCTAGAATAGAAATGATTCATTCTATTTTCTTTATTTTTTAAAATAAAAGTGAATTGAAATTTTATTTTTTCTTTTAGAAATTCTTTATACAGCTTTTTTGTATTTTCATAGTTTCTAAAGTAGATTAAAAGCCGATAATAAATTTATATTATCAACATAGTTTAAAGTTTTTTATTATGTATATATTATTTTGAATAGATTAAATATATATAGAGCAAATAAAATAAAGTGAGACTGAAGATTTTTAAGAAACTTCTATTTCAATATTAGTTTTTATTTAAGTACATCAAAAAGAAGCTAAATCCTTCTTTTTGTCATAAAAACAGATGACTTATCAGAGACTTTGAAACTTTAGATTTTGCTGAATTGAAATTATTTTATTTTGGAAATATGATTAAAATATCTTTATATTAATAAAAGTAGCAGTAGAAATTAAGTTAATATTTTTAGCTACTTGAATATTATAAATCATTAATAGAACTATATCTATGACTGAGTTTATTTTCTGCTATTTATAATTACAATGAATTAGTAGTTATAGCTATAAAAGATAGTTTAAAACTAATTATCTTTTTTAAAATCTTTCTCAAATAATTTAAAAGTAATATAAGTTGATATGATTTAAAAATAAAGAATTTTCTATTAAATTTTGCTAAAATAATATCTATAGTCTTTTTTGAATAAAGTTAATGATATTCATATTCTTTATTAATAGTAGATTTAATGCAAAAAGTTCCTTTTTTTAAGCTCTAGATATAGCTATTGAATTATTAAATGATTTATTGAATTAGATTCAGCAGCTGTTTTAACTAAATTAGTACAGATTGCCGCTTCTAGCTCATTTTCAATAATATCAGATTATTTCTACTTTTTATCATTGCAACATTTATTTGTAAAAGTATATAATCTTCAGGCTCTAAGGGCTTTATAAGTAAAATCTTTATAGATATTATGTGGCGTTCCGCCCCTATTCTTCCGCCCCTTCCTATATTAGTATCCACTCTCTATTCGCCCCTCCCTAATCCACTCAGAGGCCCCAATCTTTCCTATATTTCCTATCCTATGCAATTGCTCCTACCATATAGAGTGATTATAGTGTGTATATATATAGCAGGGCATTTGCCCATCTTATTAGAAGAGAATCAGACCATGATTTATCCTACCTATTCGATTGCTTGTACGCATCAAGTAGCTATTTTTAATATCTTTATATATATTTAAAGATATTATATATTTTTTTCAATCTTTTCCAGCTTTATAATACTCTACTGCTTGTTAAAATATCGACATAAAACTATAAAATCTTGTTGACTCTATATCAAATAGCTGGCTGAACTGATTAAAAATAGTAAATAATATCATGAAAATAAAAGATTTTATTGATATTTGTTTTTATCAATTAGAATAAAATTATTTATTGCTATTTTACTGATATATTATTCTTCAGGTATTCAAAAGGCTCCCTGTCGGGCCTGAAAGGCGCTGCTGGGCAGGCAAGCTTGGCAAATTTGAGGAGTTGGGCACATACGGACTACATTGGAAAGCTGGTTATTTGAGCGTACGGTTGTGTATATAAGCTATGTTTGATTTGGATTAGTTAGTGTATTTAGCCGGGGAGCGAGTGCATTTATCAATCCCCGTTTTCCATACAGGTTGTTGGAGCGAATGGTACAGAGGAACTGCAGGGATGATATGTAACAGGTCTATCCCAACTCATCCGAAACCATTCGCACGTCAAATTCGTTTGGTTGACGACTCGCGGATCCACTAAAACCCATTCCACGAGACAAGTGATGAAACACTGGTCTCTCTCATGCGTTGGGTCTCACTTGAGAAGTGTTGAAAAATGCCATGGATCTGCGCTGAAATAGCCTATCAAAAGCCAAGGCTTCCCCATTGCGTTCCGTCGAACCCTTCGAGCATTTGACCAAAGAAGAGAAAAGGCATTCCAGATTCTTCATTTCTTTTGTTTGAGCTGTTTTGTTGTTGGTGGCCGGGTAACTCAAGGCTCCCGGTGTGACTATAATAACAGTGGTGAATTCTGATTCGCAAACACCATCCAGCAACCGCAGTTTTGGCAATACAACAACAACGTCCTGCACACTGTTGAGAATTAAAATTTTCTGATTCCGGAGTACCCTGCTCTCTCCCAGCCCAGGGATAGTTAAATAGTTAATAGCTATTTCGGCCGGTGTTATTGAAGCGCGGACGATCTTTTGAACCAAGTTCCACGCCACCCAGTCACAGCGGTCAGTGACCAGCTCCGCCGACCGCGCGTGTGTCGGTCACAACGTACTTTTCGAGTGCGGTTGAAGTTAACGGCAAGGAACCCTGGCTAGGTCCGTTTTTAATTTTTGCGAGGTTGCTGAAGATCCACTCCAGCACTCGCCCCATTCGTTCTCTGGTTTTACGTCGATTAATACCAAAAATCAGCGTGTGTTGCCGTGGGGCAAATCCAGAGTTGATAAAAAGCCAGAGGCAAAACCCTTTTTGGCGGAATCAAAATATCGACATACATTGGACACTCTACACAAAGCACTAGGAGTAGAGAGATTTGTTGACTTCACTCCAAGCTCTTGAACCGCGAGGTACGCACCAACAGAACGGACTTCAGAAGCTTCGGGTATGATCGGTCTTTGTTGACGGTTATTGATATCGATATTGTCCCTACGGAGTACTCTGTACAGCCCATCCATTTCTGATTTCTGCTCTCAGTGATCGCACAGGCAAATCTCCTCCACATCTCGGTTGGATGCTACCTTACCCAATTCCTCTCCCCTACCTGCGACTGCTGGCGGAACCCCGTATTTGAGAAGCTTCTCTTGTGTTTTCGTATTTTCAAGCTCCCCTATAACCAGTTCTCCTTGAAAGGGGTTCAAGTTACAGATACCATTTTCCTTCGCAATTTATAAATCGTTTTCTCTTTCTTTTGATGTACTCATTTCTTTGCTGGCTCATTCCTATACCTTGCCAGGATAGTGGGAGCCCTGGGGTGTGCGCACATCTTGCCCCCGGTGGACAAGGTGCTATTTAACGGCAGTAACCAGACAGAATCGCAGATTTAGGCTTCATTTGCTGAGCAAGTGCTGTTTTGTTATCTCCGGAACTTTCTGCACTGACAAGGAACGATCCTTCGAGTCCTATTATTTGCCCTTACCCTTCGTGTCAGTCAATTACGCTTGCTGCTGATCTACCGGTGACCAACCTGCGATCTTCAAGAATATGTGCCCTTTGAGACCTTCGTTTAAAATTGAGAGCAAGCGGGGAAGATTTTCGCGCCAGCTGTTACGTTTGAATCCCAGGGCTTACTGATCTTCATCGTCAATTTCTTGGGTCAACGTTCTTCTGAATCCAAAGGTCGTTGATGTGGAATGCTGTCAGCCAATTTCCGTCCGCACATTAAACCGTTGTTTATGACAGGCAGTCTTCATCCCAAGATGATTGTCTCTTCAAAGTACACCTCCCATAGCATGACGATACGCAGGACGCCAACAAGGAGCACTTTCTTTCCAACTCCTCTGTCAAAACAACAACTGCGTGTTTCGTTCATCGATTCTCCTCTCCCATCACCGAGTTTACCGTCGATTCTTCCCCGTCACGGCAAGAAACGAGCTTCGCGATGGCCTAGAAAACTTGGGCGCCTCTTTTGCTGGACAGTCGGAGTTGTTCTTATCATATGGTTTGTGTTTTCGTGGCAACAAGCGGACCATCTGCTGAAGGTTGTCAATTACCTTTCTCATGATGGTGAACCTTTTGAAATAATTGGCAGTGATAACCTGCCAGAGGGTCCCAGCCCAGTGATGGTAACTGACCAACGGGGTCGATCACGATGGACAATTTCGATTCCGCACAATCATGAGTTCCCTCTGTCGCCGTCTAGTTACTCCTCCCTGTGTATCCAGGGTATGGAATTATCACATAACTTGGAGAATATCAAAAATAATAAACCAGCCTTGGCACATAACATTGGTCACCATGAATACTATTGGAAAGACAAAAATTTCATGGACATTCCCGATGCAGAAAGGAACGGACTACTTCCGAATTCCCGCGATCACGAAATTTTCAGGAAAGGGCATGGTGTTGTTGGTGGTGAAATATATAAGTTATGGGGCGCGGATGTACCGGTTTGCGAGAAGTCTTTGACTTACATTCTTCAAACAGAGGATGCAGGCATGGGTGCAACTGTAATGGGTTTATGGATGAGTTACGGCCTGGCCCAACATGAAGGCAGGGCCTTTTTTGTTGATGACACCAATTGGGCGTATGGCGAGTATACGACATACTTTAAACTACCACCAATGCCCTCCTGCCGTCCTCCTCCATCGTCGCAGAGAATACCTTGCCCTCACCAAACTAGACACCTTCTGATATCTTCAGCCACTACGTCGTGGACCTTTGGACATAGTTTTAATGACAAATTCGAAGACGGTCACAAAATGGGAGTGTACCGGCAGAAAGCAATGTTTGATTTCCTCCGCAGCGGATACGATGCGTTGTTCCATTTAACAGGGGATGACGCCGCCTATCTCGAACAACGTGTGAAAGAGCTCAATGTCTCGGTAAGGAATAGGGGAGGTATCGAAGTTGGCCTCCATGTCCGTCACGGCGACCGACACCCAATGGAGTTCCAATATCAAAAGTCCTATCTGCCATTGGAAATATATACAGAGGCCGCATACAACATCATTTCCTCATTCCGCAAGAGCAACATCAACCCTACCGCATCACTTGGACGTGACAAGTCCAGCATACTACTTGCCTCTGATGACCCGGACGTCTACATGGCAAGGGAGATGTCTGATACTGAGCAGGCACAATCGATGATATCCCTCGCCAACAAGACAGCCCAAGGCGCTGCGAAGGGTAAGGCCCAGATCACGATGGACGGGGACATAGACTGGGAGGGCGGGTTCTTCCATGACGTGTTCTGGTCTTTGGGCGCCCCAAATCCACCCCGTGCAGTGGGGAGTCCGCCCGCGTCCAGGAACGAACCCCATCTCCGTCCACGAAGCGTGGAAGCGCGCGACATAGATTCGTTCCGCTTCCAACCACCCGATGTAGCGCTACGTCTGCGCGAGCTGATTGGTCGCGCCTATCTGCTTGATCTGGCCGTTCTCGGACAATCGGACGCAGTGGTCTGTGGGGTTAGTAGCATTGCGTGTCGGTTACTGGCCGTCATGCTTGGGTGGGAGAAGGCTATTGAGCAGGGGAAATGGAAGAATGTGGATGGAACATGGCACTGGAAGGGGATTATTTGGTAAATTTTGCTTGATTTAATAACTGTCATTCGTAGTTCATCTTTCTTTTGAGCCTCCGGTGTTCCTTTCCCCTTGGTTTTCTGTATCCCACGTTCTTTATTCCACCCCTCCCCACTAATCCTCTTGCTGGAGTTTCCCTTGTCGAGTTCACTGGAATAGTGGAGTACTCTATTTTACACGCATTGGGCACGAGCTCTCAGCACGGTTGAGAAATATGCTGGCCGTATATATGTTGTTTTTATCCATTGAGATAGAATACCATAGATATTTTCCTTGTCATCTATATACCATTTACAAAGCAGCGGACTAAAAATATAGGCTATTGGAGATTTTCAACAATATCGCTCTTTAACTTTTAAACAACAAAAGATATAATAATCACGAATCCCCTCAAAGTCCTTTTAACACTAGGATTATCATTTAATAATAAAGGGCTACATCAAAATGAGCAAAGGAAATATCACAAATGCAACCAACTACTTCCATTTGGTTGCGGTAAAGGTCATATTTGTCGATGTTTAGTCACACAACCTTTCTAGACACAGCAGGCTACATCAACTGCAACTCAACTGCAGGGTCTGCTCCTCCAACTATAAAACACATATAAACATGACAAGGAAACTCTGAGAAACGTTTTGAGGAGATGCACAAGGAACACAATCCATCATTGCCAATACCTCGACGAAATGAAAACCCAATTCACTGACAAACCATGGTCATCCATGCAAAAAAGGAACAAAATACAAAAATGAATAAAGCCCTCCCATCCCATCAATGAATAATAGTAGTACCCAGTTCCTCAATCTACGCAACAATCTCCAGCTCCGACGTCCTCTCCATGGCAAATACACCTCGATAGTCCTTCCATAACCGCTGTAACTCGCGGACATATTTAGAATGCAACTCATCAACGTAGGCATCATCAATTTTTGCCCGATCCCGCTGCTGAACCACCTGAATCGGTCTTCCTATGACAATATTTAGAGGACGGCGATACGGCATCAGACCGATGTCATAGTTGAAGACGCCACGTGCGTGGAAGAGCGGCACTGTGAAACCCAAAGTACGTTTGACGAGGAGCTGGAATTTGCGAATGAGCGGGTGCTGGTCCGAAGAGAGCTGTTCGTAGAGCTCATTTTCTCCAAAGGCGAGGACAGGGACCAGGTCTGCTCCCGTGCGGATGGCGAGTTTCACGAAACCCTTGCGGCGTTTGAGGACGAGGCGGATGGAGTTGGGTTGGGCATCCAGCGATTCACTGGCACCTCCGACAACGATGGTGATTCCGCGGCCCATGCCGGCATTGTCGAGACCGCCCTTGGACAGCAGGTTCTCGCAAGATTCGCGCGAGACACTGGCAAGGCCCATGGCGAGGGCGTAGTCACGGTAGAAAGGGAGGCGGAAGTTGGAGTCAAGGGTGAGGAGGGTGTTAGTAATCCCAGGAAAGAGGGTAGAGAAGCCCAGTGCTTCTGTAGCAAATGCGGCAAAGGCACCGTGAGAAATGATGCCATGGGGGTGGTAGCCGAAGATATATTTTCGAGTGGCGGTGAGAGGTACGGAGCGGTGGAGGCGGGCGGGGAAGTAGGATGCAAAGTAGTTCCAGATCCGCAGGGAGCGGAGAAACCGGCTGCGACGGACGAGAGTGCCAGAGGTTGCCGTGTTGGAAAAGAGGGAGATGTATACTAGGTACGGGAGAAGAAGGGGCCAAAAAAGTGGTATGGCGCATGCGAAGAAAAAGGCGGTTAGAAATATGGGGATGGTGATGGTGTGGAAGAGAACTACGAGGGTTTGGAGCCGTCGTTCAAGGGCTATGTTCAGCGGTGCCCAGCGTATGCTATTAACATATATATTAGATTGGCATCTCATTTGTAGCTGTGGAATATATAAGATATGATGATACGTACCTGGCGTGTTGAGATCCTCCCCGACTTCTAAGCGTAGTATCCGGTCTTCCATTTCTATGCGGGCCGTTTACATTGTTCGGTCCATGGCTGCCACAGTTTTTAAGGGCACCCCGGGGTAAGGGAGCAGATGTGAGCCCATTCCGCTGGGAAACTCCCTGCGCATTTGGTGACGTTGGTTCTAACACTTGGATGGTATCCTTATTCAACTCAAATCCTCCCTTGTGAAAAGCGGAGCTCTCCGTGTCTTCATGTCTGGGAGATTGGACAGCCTCGACGTAGGACATAGGAGGTAAACCAAGGGCAGCTCTATCTTCGGGACGCGAAGGCTGTGAATTTAAAATGGTGGATGGGGAGGGTGAAGGGGAGGGCATTTTGATATATTGTCGACGGGAAGACGGACCGAGAGGGGGAGGGTGGGGGAAGGGGGGGGGGGTGCCTATCCCAGGCTGAGGACGACGGATGAAGTGGAGGTCTAAAGTCTTAATTTATACTTACACACACAACATACAAAAAAGAATAGAATAGAATATATATATGAATGGGATTAATTCAATATCAGCGTATCAAAGCCGAAACTTGAAGTTGATTCGAGAGGTTCGAAAGTGAGCTTGGCACAGCTATGACGTCGAGGTGGCTGAGTCAACAGGGCACCCGGCCACAGTGTGCTCTGTAAGCCAATGCATAAATGGATGGCTTTCAAAATATAGACATACGAGGAGGAGATTGATGGTTTTCAATTGCTTGCATTACAGGGTTCTAATATTATTTGATGTTCGATTTTAAATGTTCCTGTGGAGGTTACTGCAAGTTAGAATTAGCCATCCAAAGGAGCAAAAACCACGAACCCAATCCCACCACTGGTTTAACTATTACTGAAAAATAGCGCTCCTGTTCCCTTTTCCAGGACTCTCCAGATAAATACAAACCGTTAGCCCGCACCCCCCAAATTACAGCCCAAATATCTCAATCCACATTTTCCGATACTCCTGCAGAATAAGAGCCTCATACTCAAATATCTCCGCCTGCAATGCATTCTCATCCAACGCCATAGAACTTCCAAACTCTTCCTCCAACAAACTCCTCAACTGATTCTCAAACCTCCCAAGCATAAGCACATAATACGGATGTAGAGGCTGGCCCCTCCTCCACCCTTCCTGCGGTGGTGCTGTTGGCTGCAACGTCGTGTGCTGCAGCGCCATATTGGCCACATCCCTATACATCGTGTTGCTTGAAGTCGTTTTGACAGATAATCCAGAGCTGAGCGGATGCTGACCCCATTCCGCGCGGATATTGTCCATGACGCTACGGGAGTGTCTGAGCCATTCATTGCAGAAGGCATTTTTGTTCATCATTACTATATTTCCTTGCTGCGCTTGGAGCTGTTGATGTTCGTGCAGGAGGGTGCGGAAATTGTCGAAGAAAACAATGAGGAGTTGGGTGTAGTAAAGGTGTAGCTGGTCGCCTGGGGCCCAGACAGAGGGCGGCGGGGAATCGGGGGGGCGAATGGATTCCTGATACGCGCGGGCAGCCAGAGCGTAAAAAGAGAGGTGTGAGGCGGTGGGAGTTTTGGGGGTTGCTGGTGTTGATGGGGTATTGTTATTGTTGTATGAGTGATAAGAAACAGTGCCCGAGAGATTGTACTGTTCGTTTCAGGGGGTGAAAGGTTAGCAGACAGCAACGATGAGAATCAAGGGGTTTTGACTCTATGAATATCGGTATAACAATGAAGTATATATATGTTTCATACACTAACTGGGGTTGTGTTAGCAGCCCTCATCTCGCGAACTTCCTCCTCAAATCCGGGTTCTTTATTGTCACATTCAGTTTGGCCCTGGACTGACAGCATGAAAGGGTCTTCGGCAACAGGACCACCTTTAAAGCTCTTCAACCCGAGTGCTCTCTTGCCACACCCAATTTGATCCTGGACTGATACCATGGGAAGGTTTTCCGCAGCCGATCCGTTCTCAACGCTCTTTAACCCGAGCTCCTGCTTGTCATGCTCAATTTGATCCTGGACTGACGGCATGCGAAGGTGTCTAGCAACTGGCCTGCCTCCAAAGCTGATCAGCCAAGGGCTGGGCGAGGGGCCGCGAAGATATCTATCACCCATTTTAGCTGCGGAAATAGACTAAATATAAAACCTAGAAATTGAATACAAAGAGGAGGAATCCACTCAGAGGCGATCACGGAGTATTTGTCTTCACAGGTTTGTTGATATCCACGCTGGTTGCCGTAGTGTTATAGGGGAGTGGTTGTCGAGGTAACTTTTCATATTCACTATCTCCTGTTGTTGTCGTCCCCATTTGATGGCATGTAAGTATATTAGAAAAACACGGATGCAGCATAGAATATTCAAGAGTTAGAAATATCTTTAAAAGAGATCGAAATGGCTGCAAGGATATCTAACAGATCCTCCACCCGCACTCTCATGACGATATATCTGCTCACATCCTGGATGAAACGACAGGTTCGGGAGAAGATAGCGATGAGCTATCACAAAATTTGAGACGATAAGAGATATATGTATGTATATAGAATAATAGCATGCTCTATGATCCTGATCCAACGGTAAACACCTATCGGTCAAAGGAAGAAAAAGCAACAGCACACCAATGAAACTCAGTAGAAGTATAAAGAAGAAAATACGTGACCAGCAGACGAATGGTTTGGAATTCAAAGTAGGTTGAATCTTCTCAAAAAAAGAAAAAAAAAGGATCGGGGGTGTCCAAAAAGTGAATGCTCCCCTATCCATCACTTCACCATAAAAATCTAGAAAATAAATTAGCCATGGTTCAGCAAGCAAACAAGGGATAAATATAGGAAAACATACCTCACTCAAAGATTTCGCATCCATCAGAGCCAGCTTCTTCTGTTGAATATAGCGACCACGGGTAAACTGGCGACCCAATGGCCTATGTTCCTTGACCTTCACAATATGCGTATGGTTGGAAATTGTGGAAGTCGATTTTTCCTCATCCCGTCCCACAGAGCTCTGAGTATCCGCGCCATTACTGTCTCTCTCCTCAGGGTAAATGAATTCAAGATCTTGTTGTTTTCGCTTCTTGGACTTTTTCCGTTTCTTGTTGATGAGGGCATCCTCCAAAGATGTTGTGGTATCAGTAGACGGACTTGAACAATCACCAGACCTTGTCTTCTTCTTCTTTTCCATCTTTAACTTCTTCTCGTTCTTTTTTGAGAGCTCTTGAGAGACATCTGAATTGGAATCACCACCTTTTGCTTTCCTCTCTCTCTTGCGCTCCTTTTTCGTCTTGTCTAAAGTCTCCGATTTGCTGTTTTCCTGTGCTTCTTCTGCTTCTCCTTCGCTGCCGCTCTGCACCTCCGTAAGCGCCTGGATCTTCTCATGCACTAGCAGCCCGCCGCTCACAAACCGCATCGTCTTCCATCTCTTCTCGACAAAATTAGCAAGGCGCCTATCATCCCTCTTCCTTTGCTCTATTTCCAGCTCCGCACCACTCTTCCCATTAAGACGTCCTAGGAGTCCCTGAAAAGCATCAAGCCCCGTCGGTTCGTCCCCCGCACGGGGTTTGGCGCCTAGTCCCAGATTGTCATCCTTGAGAATAACGCGGATATGACCTGCGCTCGCAGAGGTGAAGTGTTCTGCATGAGCAGCATTGGAGGCGCCCAGGAAGCTACCGGGGGTCCAGCCATGGGCACTCATAATTTTGTGGCCAAAGCCGGAGGTTGAGCGGGCCCAAGCGGTGTTGTTGGGGTCATGGGAGATTTTGGTCCTCCTGGATAAGAGAGTATGTTGGTTAGCAGGAAAAAGCCGTGAGGATGGAGAAGAGGAACTGTTTACTGACTTTCGAGGGCCAGCTAACCCCATTGCAACTGCAGGGAGTGCCGGGAAGGGGAGATATGTATGTTTGGAAATGCTTTGTTGCTCTTGTCTTTGTTCACGTCGCCAGAGCTCAATTTCTGGTTATTGAATGAAAAAGATATATTTGGTGCTGCTGGCTAATCACCACGTGACCTACTAGCAGTTCCGATGTATTTAGAACAATCTTCCCATTAACTTCTGCTTCGTTCTCACTGCAACCATCATCGAAGATCATAACAGGCTTTGTCCACATTGGCCTGTCAAAATCTCTAGAGCTATAAACAACGTCAAGCCTAAGACCCTCGGTTGGTTCCAGGGTAGCTAATGGCCGGGAAGAAAACCACCACAGGCCGACGCGGACGTCCTTCAAGAGTCAGCACCGGGAAAAGCGACTCAGATCACGGGCTGTTTGTCTCGTCGACTCCTGCAGATTTGTTGAAGGACCTTAGTAGTGCCGTGAGAAAGCACATCTGCATGCCCCTGATTGCTAATTGCTTCTGCTTTAGAAGAATGCTTGTTAAATTTAACCTCAATATTAACTCAAACATGTGTCTATCGTAGGTTGAAAAGCGTAACAAGCACAAATGGCAGAAACTCCGCGCTCAGCATAGAGCTCAGGTTAAGAAAACAGAGGAAGGGATACAAACAATGGCTTATTCGAACAAATTGTCTATGTGGGTTTTACATTGTTTATTATTAACATCAAAAGATGCATAAGGGGATAACCGCCTTTTTACATTGGCAACCTTCTAACGATCAAGTTACGCCCAAAGCATGAGACACCGGAGAGCGCAAATCAAGCGCCTGTCAGAACTGGTCAAGAAGAGGACGGAGATTGAGCTGGCGATCGTGGCCGAAATGCAGACGCTGGGTGATCTGTACGAAACAGTTCATGGCGAACTGGAGTTGGTCCTGTCGCGCAGGATATCAAACCTTAAATGAAAAACTCCAGCGATGAATGGATGAGGCATTCTTCCGATTCCCACGACAAACCTTGATAGACGAGATCTACGAGGACATGCGACCTTTGACGATATATACTTAGACCACTGTCGAATCGAGATCATCGGGGATGGGAGCCATTGTTATACGTATATGAGTCAGCCATTTCGGATCTATGGGAAAGTGTTTTCGGCTGGCACTTTGCGTAAATATGTTGATGTTGACGCTCGAAATGCTTAATTGATCAAGATAGATCGACGATTGCAAGCGCAGCACCGGGGATATTACCCTAGATGACTTTGTATCTTTAACTATGTGTATTTCCTACCCACTTTGCTGGGGTTTCTTAATACAGCCTAAATTCGTTATCACAGGATATTTTCATTCTATCATCCTCTTCGCAGTGGATATTTATTGTGACTTTTAAAATCCTGATCAATAACTGGATGCAGCATTTAATACTTTGGCAGGCAATCCGTTTCTCCGCTGGTTGAACCGAAGGAAGCTGTAAGAAAGAACAAAGCAAGTAACAACTATAAGAGAGGCAACTAAAACATAAAATCAGAATAAAGGATCATTTAAATAAAGAGAGACACTCATACAGCAATGCCCACTCTTTGATATCCGCACCTAGTATATATCTTGCTGCTGGCTGACCAAGGTTGCGGGTTGAAGTTGGGCCGCCAAAGTCAATCCAACACAATTCTTCCCCGCCACCGAAAACGCTACAATCAGGCACAACGTATATCTATATAGATATTTTACATCTACAACACTCTAATAACGAACGCTCTTAGACTTGGGAAATGGTAGTAACTAGGTCCTTTTCCCTGATAGGTGACTCTCTAGCTATGCACACACACGTCCCCAGGCACTACATCGCTATAAGGCATACACAGCAACGATGTCTCTGCGCGTTCTCTGTCGAGACCGGCCTGATCGAGCGCTGGCATTGATCTCTGACAACCATGGCCTGGTCCTTAACCACGTTCCCGTCACTTCTGAGTCGAGCTCGGTTGCGTCATACTCCAACATTAGCCCACCAAAGTGCCATATCGAATTTGATACGCTGGATTCGCTTGACCTGGCGGGCTTCAGAGCCCTAGGTCGTGCACATGGCACCCTTGGCCTGATCGCGTTGGCAAGTGATATCTTTCTCTGTACAGTATCTCATGCGTCCCAGGCAGCTACAGTGCGCCCTGGAGAAACTGTCCAGAGGATCGTGAACGTGGAATTTTGTATGTTTATATCGTTTCTTCCCGGTACTTTTCCCTGGAACCCGCTTGGATTATTACTTACAGGGTATAAATAGACTGCTTGAACCGCCCCGATTATGACAACGATCTGGACTATGAATCTAGAACGGCCTTTGCATATCATACTGAAGATACCGACTATGGAACTGGCTATGACGGTCGCGAAGTTGTCACCGAAAATCCGTTTCTTCCTCTTAAAAAACTGCTTGGTGACGGCAGCTTCTACTACAGCGTCGACTTCAATCTTACTGACCGTCTTCAAGATAGGTAAGCCTGTCCGGGACCATTCAAAGAAGAGAAGTGACCTTTAGTTTTAGCTAACAGATTAAAAGGGCCGAGGAGACGACCTCCTTCGATATCGATAGTCTTGACAGGGACTTTTTATGGAACTCCCATATGATTGAGCCTCTCCTGCTGTTTCGAAGTCATTTGCTAGAATCTGAGCGCCAGGCACTGGACGCATCCCGGATTTTGACATCAGCCATCCGAGGATTTGTTTATTCGTTAACAATTCCTGCGTCCACACCGCTCCTGCGAACCTCTCATTCAAACCTACCGTCAAGCTTGACGTTGATATCCCGACTTTCCTCAAGAAGGGCCGGAACCAGGTTTAATTCTCGCGGTATCGATGACGAAGGAAATGTTTCTAATTTTGTCGAAACGGAAACAATTGTATGGGTTCCTCCTGGCATATGTTTTGCTTATACCCAGGTTCGCGGATCTCTCCCGATTTTCTGGGAACAAAGCGTTGCCATAGGTGGTCAGAAAATTCAAATCACTAGGTCTGTAGACGCCTCTCAACCTGCGTTTGATAGACATTTTGATCGCCTGTCTTTGACCTATGGTGCCGTGCATGTGGTAAACCTTCTCACGGAACTAAAACCGGGAGAGGCAGAACTATCTCAACGATATCGATATCATATCTCCCGAAGCCCTTTAAGACACAGTCACGATCCGAACACATCCTCCGAACACCATCTGCTCCGTGCAACAGACTTTGATTTTCATGCAGAGACAAAGGGCCCTGCAGGGTACCAGAGTGCCTCTATAATTCGACATCAGATCCAAGATTCCGCAGATGCATTCGGTTTCTTTCTATCTATAGATTCTCACCAAAACGCAGAGCCATTGACTTCTATTGAAGATGCAAGCAAGGGCCAGACTGTTATTCTTCAGCAGCAGGGCTTTTTCCGAACAAACTGTTTAGATTGCCTGGATCGGACCAATCTGGTACAGACCATTATAAGTCAGATGGCACTTGAATCTTTCCTGGAACAGCAAGGCGGTGAAGCATCGGCTGAATTTTGGAGGAGGCATTCAACCCTGTGGGCGGACAATGGTGACAATCTCTCTAAAATCTATGCTGGCTCTGGCGCTTTGAAGTCATCATATACCCGACATGGCAAGATGTCTCTTGCCGGCGCATTTGCAGATATAAGGAAAAGCGCGGCCCGTCTATATATGAACACCTTCACTGATAGCGCGAGACAAAATACTATAGATCTCCTTTTGGGAACTCTGACTGGCCAGAGTACCGTGCATCTGTACGACCCCATTAGTGATTCTGTCAACAGAGCTCTAAGGCAGAGGGCCCAAGAGTTCAGTTCCTCGAAAAGGATACGGATATGGGTTGGAACGTTCAATGTCAACGGTCGGAGCGATGGTGCCAAAGTAACCGATCTCTCTCCATGGTTATTACCTCATCTTGATCGTTTACATGAGGATCCCGCGATATTCGCGGTCGGATTTCAGGAGATTGTTGAGTTGAGCCCACAACAGATTATGTCGACTGACCCTGGGAACCGAATAATATGGGAGAACGCTGTGAAGAGCACTTTAAATGACTACGCTAACAGGAGGGGTGTGAGCGAATATGTTCTCCTTCGAAGCGGTCAACTAGTGGGCACTGCTCTTTTGATATTTGTCAAATCTGAATTGCTTACCGACATAAAAGCTGTTGAGGGTAGTGTGAAAAAGGTATAGTTTAACGTTCCCGCTTCACTGCTGTTTCTAAATTACTAACAATTGAAAACAAGACCGGTATGTCTGGAATGGCCGGCAACAAGGGTGGATGCGCCATTCGTTTGCAATGTTCGAACACGCGAATATGCTTTGTTACAGCGCATCTTGCGGCCGGGTTTTCGAATTACGACGAACGGAATCGTGACTATCAAACAATCAGTCAAGGACTTCGCTTCCAGAGAAATCGGTCGATCGAAGACCACGACGCCATAATATGGCTTGGGGACTTCAATTACCGAATTGGCTTGCCTAATGACCGGGTGAGGGGCCTTATAAAAGATGGAGATTTAGAATCCCTATATGAGAACGATCAGGTAACTTATCCTTGGCCGCGATAACTTTATTGACCACACTGCTGACTTTTGTAGCTCAATTTACAAATGGTTGCTGGCCTCACGTTCCCATTCTATTCGGAGGCCCGAATCACCTTCCCTCCAACATATAAGTACGACAATGGAACTGACCTCTATGACACATCGTATGTTACCTTTTTGTCCTTTCTTTTGAACATATGCTAACAACTCATAGAGAAAAAGCACGTATACCAGCCTGGTGTGACAGGGTTCTGTGGAAAGGGGGAAACTTACGCCAGCTAGAGTACAATGCGGCGTCTTTGAAGTTCTCAGATCATCGCCCTGTACACGCGACTTTCGATTGTGGAATAAGCGTAGTAAATGAGGAATTGAAAGAGGAGATACGAAAGAGCCTCTACGAAGTTGAACGAAATCGCATTATGAGCGGCATGGCAGATTCTGGGTCGGAGGACACGGATGACGAGGTTGAGGACTTCATAGGATTTGATGCGATCGACCCTGGACTCCCGCCAGCCAGTTCCGATCGCCGTAAATGGTGGCTTGACAACGGTGAGTTTGCTTACTTTTTCCACAGGACTTGGTTCATTTTGTGATAATATAAATATATATTCTAACTCAAAACAGGACTTCCTGCGAAGTCGACACTGAAGCCACCACATGGACTTGCTGCCAATCCAAGCAGACCTGCAAACCCATTTTCTACAACTCCTGAATCTGAGTGGATTCACCTTTCTTATCCGAGTATTTCTCCTACCAAAGGTCAAGCAGACGGTATTTCGGACATCCGGAAATCGGGGTTCCCGGCGCCAACGCCCCTTCGATCTAAGGCACCTCTTATCGACATCGAAAACAGAGAGAAACCTTCACCACCTTTGCCAAGCAGGAGTATGACCGAGTTGTCAACAATTTGCGATGGGGACTTGGGCACACCTAAGAAACGCGCGCCTCCAGTCCCTACAAAACCCCTGTCGATGACAATGAGCTTAGAGCTCCCTCCAACTGCAACCACAAATGCAGATGCCAATATCATGAGAACACCCTCAGCTCCAATTCACACACCAGTCCCAACAACGCCGCAAAGAGAAGCAACCACTATCGGACCCAAACCACCTCTCCCACGGCGCAAAACGTTAGAAGAACGAGGGGCAGAGGTGCTCACGTCAGGAAGCATTCATCCAGCGAAGCCCCTTCTTCCTCCTCCCGTCCATCCTAGAAAGGCAAAACCTGAAAGATCTTACACTGGTGACTTACCACACCCTAACCTACCCTCACCCGAGGTGTCATTGCCTCGTCTTCCTGCTAGAAAGTCAGCCGCGCCCCTTGACACTTCGACGCCGAGTCTCTTGGATGGAGATGTTGAGGAGAACATTGCCGGGTGGAAACCACTTCGCTCACAAGGGTGAATGACTGGATATGAGTACGAATATGGACATTATGGGTTGTTCTAGTTCTGATTTGTGGGAATGGGATGTTCATGGGCTTTGGGGTCAAGGAAGGTTGCATATGGTAGTTTTGATCTCCACCTTTGGTATATGCATGAGGGTGAGTCTCTTTAAGGGTAAAACAAAAGTTTAAACGATTGCCATGTCCGGAGGGTTGTAGTTGGAGTCTAGTAGTTGGAGTTGAGGGTTGAGGATATATGGAATATGTTTAAACATATATTGATAAAGTAGCTAGCTACTGGGGACGACATACTTCTTATCTCATCTACGGAACGATTTGTGCTTTTATTGCACACTACTATTGGTTGAAATTTTTTGAAATTTTTATTTATCTGGCTTTTTGGTCGTAGTGGAGAGGGATAACGAAAATTGATGATATATTCAGACAGTTGAGGGATAGTTTTGTTGCTGCCGCTCCGTAGCTATTGGAAGTGGATGGAATGAATATATACGACGTTAAGAAGAGAGAGAAAGACTCAGGATTAACGGAAGTCTACTTGAAAACTGTTTGATAAAAGGAGTTCTAAATGGACCAATAACTAAATTATTACTTTCATACACATAGATTGCAAGCTATCATGAGTAATGAATAAACAAAAAATAGATAGATAGAATTGGGTATATATTTTAAGTAACCAAAGGGCCAATCCAAAAGAAAAGCCAAAGAAAAACGGTTGAAAATACAAATATGCAAAGGAAAAAGGATCTGAATAGCAAGATCCAAGGTGGAAAAAGGGGAAATGAAACACCGTCATTCGAGCCTTTTCATTGCTCCTTTTCTCACTGGTTTGTGAAATCAAAAGTGGCATATTCACCCCCATATGCCTTTTCTCAATATTTTGTCCCGAACACCGCCAGTACCGGACAGGAACTCAAAAAGGAACGTAAGAAAGTACTAGGTAGTTGAAGGGAATCAGATTTGTGTTAGAGCTCCTAAATGATAACAGTGGTATACTCTCCATCCATTCAAGACAGGAGAGAATGAGGGAGGAACTTGTAGGTAGAAGGAAAGGAGATGAAAGTAATTTTTTATTTTTTATTTTTTTAATAAAAATTAAAATTAAAAAATAAAGGGGGGTCAGATGATCAGGAATCAAAGCATAGCTCTCATAAAACATGACAATATATAACAACGAACAACACACAACGGACTCTTATAAAAGATAGTGGAGAGAGATAGAGGATGGAGAAATGGAGGACAGACAGATGAAGGTCCAGGATACTACTACATGGAGACACACACAAGCCGACTAAAGCCGCAAAAAAGGAAAACATCGGAAGAAAAGAATATAGATTGTTAAGTATGAAACACAAGACAAACCAACAATTAAGCTTTCTAGGGGTTCATTCTTCCTCTTGGCGCCATGTCCCGCTAGATAGTGAGGCGTGGTAGAAACACACTGAAGTGGCCAGCGCCCTGGTTACTCGAGGAGTCGGGTTTTATTGTTAGTCAGTCTGGGCAATTTAGTTTCCGCATTCAAGAATTAGTCAACCTAGGCGGGAGATATATCCATGAAAGCGAATTCCGGTCCTTGTTGTTTCTGTTAACGGCTACTTTTTTGGGTTTTTTTTCCCCCCATCGTTGTTTTTGTTTCGTCCAGTAGTTGAATACCTTATCAGTCATCTGTAGAAGGATCGTGGGGTAAAGAAGGTGCAAAGGAGTGTTCTGCTAGAAAAGATTTGCCGGATGCGATGTTTATTGTGTTTTCATCAACCTAACGTTATTCACATGGCGCAGCAATGATTCATCATGTTGCTGCTGCTGCTGCGGCTATGGGATGACTTCAGGCTTTTTTGCCGTTTTTAAAGCCCGGTTTCAATTTGCCTCTATTTCCCGTCATCCACATAGCAAAGGCTCCCGCAGGGAGATCCCGGGGACGCGGTCTTTTTGGACCATGAGGCGGTGGAGATGGTTGCGCATCCGCTGGAATTGGATGGTGAAGGTCAACAAATGGATCCGGAATTAGATGTGGCGGCAGACCCGAAGCCATGAAGGCCGCGGCATCTGGCGGAGGCGGCGGAACAGGGGGATAAAGAGGAGGGGGCGCACCTGCAGCCTCTGCACGCTTCAGATCCACGATGGTAACCAGATTACGGTCATCCTCTAGTACCATGGATGGATCCGGTGTCTTGGGCTCTTCCGGAAGGGGCCACATGTGCATAGTGATGGTCCAATCCGGTTCTACAACAGTTTCCCAGACTTGTGGGAGAATGATGTCACCGTTGGGGCCAACCAGATCATAGTGGCCTTCGGCGACATGAGGTCCTATTCTGTCAACGTGGAGGAATGCCTGTCGGACAAGATCCTCCATGCCCTACATTTTACAGGAAGAACAAAAGATAGTTAAAATTGTGCACTGTTGAGATCACAGAAATCTGATACAGGCCCTTGAAGCCCTTGAACTCGAATGAAACTTACCGGCCAGGTGTTGCACAGATGAAAAGGAAAACTGAACTTCCTTCCAACAGCGTCTTTAAACTTAATTGGCTTCTTCTTCTCAGCAGGAGGCGCGAGCGCAGCCGCAGTGGCAGCGGCGACGGCTTCGGCAGTCTTAGCATTGGCCTCAATAGTAGCCTTCTCCGCGGCTTCTGCGGCTGCCAGTGCTGCAGCCTCCTCTGCAGCTATTTTAGCCTTGGCAGCCTCTTCCGCGGCTTTCGCTTCCGCCTCTTTCATAGCTTCTGCTCTTGCGATTTTGCTTGCTTTGTCTGCAGCTTCTTCTGCGATCTTTTTTTCTATAGCTGCGCGTTCCTCTGCGGCAGCCTTATCACGAGCAGCTTTTTCGATAGCAGCTTCACGGGCAGCTTCCTTGGTTTCCCGTTCCATTCGTTCATCGAGAATAAGCTTCTCTAACCGGGCGATCGCTTCGTCTTTGGAATCGGGCTGGGGTGGTGGAGGCGGCACTGTTGGAGCAGTGGGTGGAGAAGAAGGTTCTTTTGCTGGCGGTGGCGGAGATAGCGACCGTGGGCGCTGAAACTGATGGAAGAAATGTGGCGCAATCATGCCAGGGGGCAGGGGAAAGTGATGCCCGTATGGGGAGAAGTAGCCAGGACCTCCATGTGGGCCTCCAATGACATGAGGACCAACGTGGAGACCTCCATGGGGCCCGCCAGCATAAGGAACCATTTCCGCAGGGCCAAAGGGAGAGTGTGGGAATTGAGGAATTGGATGTCCCGGGTGCACAGTATGGGCATAATGGGGTCTAGGAGGGGGGCTTTCACTTTCATCCCGTAGAGGCGGTGGAGGGTGAGATTGGCTCCGCGTCCGGCGATGGTGGTGAACATGGCGATTTCGTGGATGTGGAATTTGCTGCTGGTGAGTGTGGTTTTCTTGGCCGTTGAAGAAAGGTGGGGGTATTGGATGATTATGTGCTTGTGGATGTGGTGGAAACAGGGATGGTCCATAAGGGTAATTTTGCGGCTGGCCCAGCGGATAATGGCCCATGTTCCCGTTTACACTACCCATATGGCCCATATGGCCCATCTGTGCCATGTGTCCCGACTGCACTAATTGGTTCGACGAAATCCCAGGATGCCCCGCGTGCGCAGGTTGCATGGGTCCGTATGGCACGTTCCCGTATTGGGGGTATGGATTGTATGATGGCGCGGAGACAGAACTCCGGACATACCCTGGTGGCGGAGCGGGAGCATGGGGAGCCCAATATGGTCTTTCAGGCGGACCTCGTGGCGGGGGGTACTCCTCGAAGTCGTCACCAAAGTCCTCACTCTCCACTGGCGAAGGGGAAGCGGGAGGGTGGCGGTGCCTTCTTGACCGGTGCGCTACTGGTTCCCGTTCTGGCGGAAGATGATGGCGGGTGGAATGACGACGACTGGGCCCCGATCTGGCGGCGTTAGAATTTTGATGGCGATTAGAAGTTCTTGGTCTGGAGGCAGAGTCGGAGGGTTTTAGTTCATCAGGGTAGCTCAGATGAGCCCAGTCACCACCGACGTCATAGTGATCATAATGGTCGTGGCTACCAGTTGCAGAGGGAGGGGAGACTTGAACGCCAGTGCCAGAGGAGTCTTCTTCGCCGGTCATGGAGGAGTTATCAGAACCAAGGGAGGTTTCATGATCTATCCTTATGTTTAACCTAGAGGGAGAGCAAAATTAATACGAGTTAGGACCTTACCCATAAACCTTCTTGGCTGCCTTTGGAATCTTTTTTTGGACTGCGAATGTGTATAAAAGGATGAATAAGAGAAGAATGACCAAAGGGGGTGATTTAAACGAGGCGGAGAGCCGCGACTGCAAAATAAAATAAAATGAAGGTTACGAAGGATTGGGAAAATAGGAAAATAAATTTGAGAACGGAATAACAAGAAAAGAGAAAATAAAATAAAGTAGAAAAAGAAAAAAACTTACGGCATGGGATTAATGTAAAGGTAAGATCTTGTCTGGGCTTCTTTCTTACGAGGAAGAAAGCCCTGACAAGATACGTTTGGTGGGACAGGCGGTGGGTGAAGGTGTGATGCTCAAGGCTGGACGAGCGACGGCTGTTGCTCCAAGCTCGTGGGGATGGGGATTCTGGACACTGGAAATGCGCCGAGCAGCGGACTGCCAGATCAGTGTTTCAAAGAAGCAGGTATTTAAGTTATGGATAAACGTCTGCCACAAACAGGATTGCGGCAAAATCAATCAGATCGATGGTGCTAGATCGAGATAACGAGAGATGAGCATGCACGAGAGGAACAACCATTGAAATACTGATCAAAGGGTGAAAGAGTGAGAATGGGCAATCAGTGAAGTGTACACAGCATGGTAGCAAAGTAATAATAGTAGCAGTAATATTTCAGTTTCAAAAGGGTAACAGAAATTATCAATATGGTGATAAATAGGACAAAATAGTAACAGACGAATATGGTACAGTACATGCACAGCGTTCAGAAAGGGGTTAATAGCAATAATGTATATACAAAAGAACCAAATAAGCAACAAAAGGTAACATATTTGTATTTATATGTGCCATAAAAAGAAGAAGAAGAAGATGATGATGATGAAGAATTGGGTCAAGGGGGTGGTGATGCTGGTGGGGTTGGAAAGAAAACGGACGAAAAAACGAGAAGAGCAGCCATACAGAGACGGGCGTCTAGTTTGATGCCCAATGCACACGAGGACGTGAAGGAAGCATAGGGCAATTTCAGATCTTGCAGCACGATCCCGGATCAGTGGTTGAGAGGGAAGCGATGACGCCAGTATATTTAATAGATGGGATAAGAATAGTAGCAAGGATGATACATGGTACAGGAAGAAAAAGGTCGCATAAATCTCGATTTTCTTGCCTGTGAGAGCAGTCGTATGGAAGAATACAGTCGTCTCTTGGTTTTAGTCTCGATCTCTCTGTTTTGCTAGCCGTAGATCTTAGAATTTAGGGCAAGACTGTGCTTGTCACGAGAAGGAGTGAACGGGTCGGATACCTAGTGGATAGAGGTGGTAGGACGAATAATCCTGGTTCTTGCTCGAGAGGATGGAGACAGAATCGCAGCAGGGATGATGATAGTGAAAGAAACGTGTATGTCTTGGGCGAGTCAGTCGTACATCAACATCCATACGGAGTACCCTGTACCGGAACCAGGGACTAATTATATAGTTAATCGCGCACAAAATGCTTTCAAAGCAAAAAATTAAGAAAGAAAAAGATACTGCAAGCTGGGAAAAGACAAAAATATACTTACCAGAGGTAACAAAGAACAGTCAGATCTCTTAAATTCTGTTTTATCACACTGCGCAACAAAAACTAAACAATCCACCAATGGCGTCGACGATGCAGTTAAGTTTGGGTCGAATAATTGGCCAGTCGAACATAGAATCAAGCCCAGCCCGATAAAAATCGTCCTAAGGCCCAAATGTTCTGTAACTTGTCCACTAGCCCAATAGCTACAATGGCTTGCCTTTTGCTTACTTGTGCCCGTCGCGAGTTTGACTGCATCTGCATCCAGTTCCTGATGGGATATGCAGGGCAGCGAAAGAAATCTCATGTCCAACCATTCTAGAAATGGAGAAGAAGAGAGATCTAGAATCAACATCAGTAATGAGTTCAACGTCCAATACAGAGGGTGGTGAATTAACCTATATAAGACAGTCTCAAAGGAGCCGCTTGCTGGAGAATCTCTCTATTCATGACCAGAGAAACTTTCCCACTAACGCCCGGGAGAATCCAACGAGATAACCTTGACCTGACTACTGCAGAGAATCAGTCGTCACCTAAAAGAGCAATCAATGCCATTCTGCTGCTATGATTGGTGGCCTTCATGAAGAAGTTTGAACATGCGCCAGTAACCTGACGTTGTTGACCTGAGGAATAATCCATAGTCTCTTGTCCCCAATGTCCCCCGGACCGCTGATTGGTCGGCAGGCTACGTACCTTCCGCTTCACTTTGAGGTTCCATGCTCACTGGAAGAGGCGTGACGAGTGACTTGCAGAGTACATGCAGTGTACAAACGGTGCTCAGTACCATTATTTCCATATACTCTGTACGTTATTCCACGTTGTAAATCAATGTGGTATTGGGCTGAAAGCGGTAACTAATGGGAAAATTGTTGAATTTGCTCTTTTCGTTTTCTGCCTCCGCTAGACAATCGTCTCGTTGGTATCCGATTGGGATAAGACAGCCAATGTACATGTACATACAGGAGTCCTGTGCGTACGCCGGTATGTATTAATTATGCTAATTTTCTCCAACCCCTTCACTAGAAGCATCTATGGAACCCTGTTGTGGTTCGCTGGTTGACACTTGGCTCCTTATTTTATGCGATGCGACGTTTGTGACACGCTGAAGATCAGGCCTCGTCGCATCTCTTTTCTCAGGCGGGATATTCGTAAACAGCTGCAGCTCCGCGACATCTAATTAGAGGAGCTTATTTTGTGGGAGATTGAACGTGAAAAAGAAGTTCGTGAACATGACAATACCTTTATTAATTTTATTAATTTTTTATTGATTTTTAATTTTTAATTTTTGTTTTATTTTTAATTTTTTTTTAAAAAAAATAGGCCGAGATGAAAAATTAAAAATATCCCAAAGGGCCTGTCCAGACCCTTGCTGGCAGCCGTCCATATAGATAACAGCTCGTCCCTCATGTTCCAAATAATCAATTACTTCTCTTCCAGCCCTTCCAGTCCTCCCTGAACTTCACACCACAAACTCACGAAGAGTAAGCCCACCTGTACGATAAACTGTTTCAGTGGCGTCAAGGGCAGAAAAGTATCAACGAGGTCCGAAACATGCATACTTGCATGCTATCGCATCGTACACTTCCGTCTATGTCGTGGGCCTTTTATCGTGCTTCGTCCCTTTTGTGCCAACACTGCTCAGCTGTGCGCACACGGGTGGTAGGTTTGCAGGAACGCCTGGATGGGATGGTATGGGAAATTTTGGGAAGAGGCATTAATTTCGTCCAGCACCTGCCTGCTCTTTGCTGCCTGATCTATGTTATCCATCCCATAGGTTGGTTCTAGCTCCGTTCTGGAGTGGGAAAAAAAATGAGGTAATCCCAGGCTGGAAGGCTGAGGTGGATCAGACCGTATCAATAGTCGGAATATGAGAGAGGAGGACTATTCTGAAGGGATTCAGTACGGAAAAATCTGATATGCGGATACCATTTGTCCTCGACGGAGCGACAGACGAGGAGAATACCTGGATACGGACAGGCGCATATAAGTATAGACGAAATAGGCACCGAACCAGCAAATGATATATATTAGTTCCTGAAGAAAACACGATGCTTAACGTGGGCATTCTGTGAATCCAACCAACTATTTTTCCAGTGGTTATAAACGGCTCCAGCTAGGATCGAGGCCGAGGTTTGACGTTGAATCCGAAAGCAAAAGCGAGATTGACTGATCAAATGATAGATTGATGAGACGAGATCCGATTGATGAGACGAGATCCGAGCATATTATGTTACCCTTTGAAAGATCCGCAATCTTCGCCCACATCCTAATCCTAATACAGCACCAATCCAGTTCAGGGATGAAACTCAGTACAAGGCAAGATGCTGCCTTGCTAGACAACACCCGGTGACATACTCCAACCACAAATTGGTGGCATAAGAATGTGCCATCAAAGGAATCGTGGCTTGCATCAGCTTCAAAACCATCATGAGTCAGCGAAGCAAGTTATGAAAGGAGGTGAGAACTTAAGACGAAAACGAGAGAAGAGGGGAAATGTATTTTCAAACAGGCTGAAAACCCAGTATCTTATGTGCATGCACATGTGAGTCTCCTGGGCACTGTTCAATTTTGCAAATCGCAGCAGCATCAAGGTCCAAAAGCCACACTGGTACCCTTCTCTTGTCCGTGTCAACATTGTCCACCATTCCACAATAGGGGACGGGACGCCAAGGGCAGAGGAGAAAACAGTCTACATGCCAAACCAAATGCTTGGTGCCACGTCGCCGCTTCCTGCCCGATCCAAGTGCGCTAGTCATAGGGCACATTCGGCGTTGGAGCCAATAGCAGAGGTGCTGAAAATTAAAATAGAACAGTATTTTCTCAGGCAAACATATTCTGTGTGTTATTGGCGCGAAGGTCAAGCTCTTTGGATTGCTTGTTTGTCATCAGCCGAGTTGTATGTATAGTGAATGTGGCTGAATGAAGTTGAGATATAAAAATGGTAATAATTTTAAAATGTGCAAGAGGCTTTCAGCATTTCTGATAAGATAAAGTCAGGTAGATGACATGAGGCTTTCGTCCAGGATGGTAAAATTTTGGGTCAGGCACCAAATAGTATTGCATTATTAATTATGTCCCTCGTTCTGCGCTTATTTCCAGCCGTCCAACACAGGAATCTCGGAAAGTTGGGGAGTGTTGTTCCGTGCTTCCTTCCAGGTCAATATTCGACTTGCTAGCGAATCGTGTCAGGCTGCGGAGGTAATGGGAAAGGGAGGGGTAGAAAAGGGGATGTGGCTGGTAGAGAAGGCTGGCTATTCAAAATATCGGCCATCCATAACAGCTCCCTAGAGGCTACCAGGAAGAAATATCAACCAACCTTGAGAGGCAGGTATAACCATTCGTCTCGGCACGCGACTGGGGAACTTGTTGAGAAGGTTAAAGAAAGGGCATGCGTAGGAAGGGAGTTTTGGCCCCTTAGTTATCTTCTCGACCCAGTAATTCTTTGGCAGCAATTAGCTCACTCTGATTCTTCTCAAAGTTCCTGACATCTGCTGATCTTGATTGGACTATTTCACGCAGTTTCCTAGTCGACAGGGCCTGAAGGTTCGTGAGAGTTTCTTGTGACGGCAAGGTATCGTCACTTTTCGATTGGGCACCGGCTTTTGCCTGTAGTTTATCTAAAATACGACTTGTACTCTGGCGAGTGAAACATTAGCGTGGTGGGGGATGTTGGAAAGGGTTCTTGGTGGGGCCTAAGACACAAATATCGTTGCCTCATACCAATTTAAGCCCGTAATACCCACGGAGGTAGTCATCGCACAGCTCAATGCTCCGGCAAAACCGACGGACGGAATCAGCCAGTAGCTTCAGCGATGTTTCTTGATTGTCTGATGAGGTGGATGAGATGTACTCTATTTCGCCTAGTCTTGCATGAAGCTGAATTGAGACGGATTAGCTCGTTTCGCTGCCCAAAAGGTCTTGGTCCGCTCCTCCGTTCTTCAACTGCAAGACATGTCTTACGTTCCATGCGTTTGGTACAACCAACAGAGCCTCTTCCAGGCAAAATATAGCCTGGGTGCCCATTCCTTTGGTTTGGTAGAGATCGGCAAGTTCGCACCAAGCCTCTGCATCGGTAGGAAATGCATCCAGAAACTCCACTAGAGCGGATATGGCATCCGCTGGCCGCGACATGGACCGTAAGAGAGCGATACGTCGTTTCAAAATCGGCTATATCAGAGAATATCAGTTTCACCTCCTGGAGGGAGCAGGGGCCGATTTCAGAGGTAATTCGCGGAGAAAACTAACCACATTCACTGGGTTTTCCTTGAGCACTTTTTCATATCCCATTAATATTTTTTCTAGAGCAGGTTTGTCTTGCGCAAGTGCCTCTTCGTAGATGCCCTTTAGCGCCATGATGCGCTCATTCGCGGGTCCAAATCGATTTGATAGCCGTTCCAGGCACTGGCGTGCGGCTTCATCATCTCCCGTTCTCAAGCAAGCTAGAAGAAGTTGTTCATAGGTTGCCCATAATTCGGGGGTCTCAGCAGCAGCAAACATGGAAAAGGGGAATGAGGGTTGTTGCGCAGGATGGGCCTTGAGGAATGAATTGGCTTGCTGTGAGAGTCGAAGAACAGTGCGCGGATCAGGAGAGTCCAGCGCCATCTGCAAATCCGGTGGCAATGATGATGACATGATGCTTTGGAGCCTGAAATGTAAGTCAAATATATTCTATCATGTCTAGTTATATGTTCGGTACATGGGAACGCGGTACATGGGAACGGGGTCCTAGTCGCCTGCACGGTTCCCCACTCACCAATAGCAGATCTGAGCTTGATATAAGTGTATACCTTTATGTGCGATGAGAGGTCTATAGCAGCAATTCTGGCATTGACTATGTAATACCCCAATGCACAAAACGAAGAGCGTAGCAGGTGAAGTTGTTTATGGTAAACCGGTCGAGGATGTGTTGAGGTTGGTAAGAAGCTAGTTGAATAGTTAGTTAGATAACTTAGTTAACTAATTGACTATTAGCGTACGGAAATCTGTAAGCGAGTGAGCCACTTCTCAAACATCTACGCATCTCTTGATCTAACAATTAAAAATATCAACAATGCAAAGTCGTCAAGTCTTCTTTCAAGAAGAAAGACTTCTTTTAGCAATTCAAGAACTAATGATGGGGAGGTTGGTTCACTCACTTATGTGGCTCACTCACTTGGAGATTAAGTTACATTAAGTTAACTAACCAATTAGCCTTGCCTGAACTAAACAGTAAAGTGACGTCTAGAGGCATTTCAATCACTCAAAACATCACAACTTCATTTACAGCTATTGTCTAAATCAACTGCAACTCGACAAAACAGCTCTGATATCCGAGTAGTTGTTTTATGTGCAGAAGTTTTTGCTCCACATCGATAATTCAAACCTCTCAGCTACTATTTTATCCTGTTGTCCTTGGTGGAAGATGCGGGCCTAAGCCATGTCCTTCCGCCGACATCCCGCCCACACGGGTTCGATATCAGTGTCCCATACACAACACGTATCCTAACAGCCTAGATCGAAGCGTTGTCCTTTTCCAATTTGTATTCCAAAGTGATAATTTGAAATCTTACGGTCCTATACCTTCTAGCGATCATGTCTGAGAGTTCCCCGCCTCCTAGTTTCCCCGCAAACCAGTGGGCACTAGATTGGATTCTTAAACTGACACTTTATGCGACTCCGCAGGTTCGAGAAATCGCTGTATGACCTCATACGGGGTCTGCGGAATCACAAGGGCAATGAAGTCGAGTATATACAGGACAGCATCAGGGAATGTCGGTTTGAGGTGAAGTCGCAGGATATGGGTTTGTAGTTCTCTTTTATATGCCATTCACACGAGCACTTCGATTGACCTATTCCTTGAAGATAAAAAAGCAACGGCTCTGCTAAAATTGATATACCTGGAGATGTTTGGATATGATATGTCCTGGGCTGCATTCAATGTGCTCGAGGTTATGTCTTCAGCGAAATATCCCCAGAAGCGCGTCGGCTATCTGGGAGCGGTGCAGAGCTTCCGTCCGGACACAGAAGTCCTTATGCTGGCTACCAATTTATTAAAAAAGGTACATACGGAAATACAACTATATGAGCATATTTATATGCAGCATAGCACACATGTCTGATTCCTCGTTATTTTAGGATATGGTTTCACCTGCGGTCCCAACGATGTCATTACCTCTTCTTACCCTGCCGCATATAATTTCTCCTTCACTTGCTCTGTCGCTTCTGACAGACGTATTATCCCGTCTATCTCACTCCCACCCTGCAGTCCGCAAGAAGGCCGTGGTAAACCTGTACAGAATTTCTTTAGTCTATCCAGAAGCATTTCGAATTGCCTGGCCAAAGATCAAGGAGCGTTTAATGGATGATCAGGAGGATAGCAGCGTTACTGCTGCTGTCATTAATGTTGTCTGTGAATTGGGCTGGAGAAGACCTCAAGATTTCCTTCCTCTTGCACCTCGACTATTTGACCTTTTGGTTAATGGGGGGAATAATTGGATGGCTATTAAAATTATCAAGCTTGTAAGCTTTGCTCCGATATGTTCTGTTGAACGGACAACGTAGCTAATATATATAGTTTGCGACATTGACACCCCTTGAGCCCCGACTGGTTCGGAAACTTCTCAGGCCCTTGGCTAATATCATTCAAACAACGACAGCGATGTCCTTACTCTACGAGTGTATAAATGGAGTTATCCAGGGGGGCCTTCTTGATGGCGCTGAAGGGGTGCGGGAAGGAGAGGAAATTGCTAACCTATGCGTGGAAAAGCTTCGTGGCATGATTGTCATGGCAGGTGATCCAAACTGTAAGATCTTCCTTGATTTTCTATATAAGATCGCTTGAAATCTAACGATCTATAGTGAAATACGTCGCGCTTCTTGCATTCAACAGGATTGTCGCCTCACACCCAGCGCTGGTGGCTATGCAGCAGGATGTCATCATGGGTTGTTTAGATGACAACGATGTATCCATCCGTTTACAAGCGCTCGAGCTTGTATGCGGGATGGTTACCAGTGATAATCTACGCCCAGTGGTCAACAGGCTAATCACTCAGCTGCAAACGTCCCCCACATCAACGGATGACGTTCATATTAGTTCTTCATTGTCCGTTGGGGTAACTCCGTCGGCTGATATCGATGGAGATGACCCTGAGGAACAACTGCGGTCGATCAAAAAGAGGAATGATTCCGTACTCGCCCTCCCCAGCCACTATCGCATCGAAGTTCTACATCAAATACTGGATATCTGCTCACGAGATACGTACTCATCAATTCTAGACTTTGAGTGGTATGTTGAGGTGCTTGTGCAGCTAGTTCGCCTCATCCCACCGTCAACTAGCGCGTCGGAAAGCCAGTCCTCCCAAAAGGGTGACGTTGCCTCTCGAATTGGGTACGAACTCCGCAATGTTGCTGTGCGCGTAAAAATCGTGCGACCTGAAGCCACTCGAGCGGCAGAATCGTTAATATCGATCGACAATCGAGGGACACTGTTCCCCGCCGCGAGCACAGCTGGGACAGATATCCTCGAACCTACTGCTTGGATAGTTGGGGAATATGCGGAATATTTAGAATTCCCTGACCGTACACTCACCTCCCTGACTCACCCCTCGAACATCTCATTATCTAGCACCGTTTTATCGTCCTACCTTCAGGCAATCCCTAAACTTTTCGTTTCTCTTTCGCCGAACTCCTCATATGGATGGGATTCTTCCAGACAAAGCGAGGCTTCACTTCTTCTGGCACGGATCATTGACTTTCTGGAGAAGTTATCATCTCATCCAGACCTGGATGTTCAAGAACGTGCCATTGAATTTCTCGAACTTCTCCGTCTCACGGCAGAATCGGTTTCGTCACAGGATCCAACTAGCACTGATACGCCTCTACTACTCTCATCAGCTATACCAAGCCTATTCACGGGCCTTGAACTAAACCCAGTCGCTGTAGGCGCTCAGAAGAAGGTACCGCAGCCTGAGAACCTTGATCTGGACAAACCCCTGAACGACCGACTCCCTTACATCCTACAAGAATCAGAGGAAGGTTGGTTGGATGTATCCGACCAAGATGATTTCCGAGACTTCTACTACATCCCTGACGCTGTCAGCGGTAAGCAGCAATCCTACACCAAAGAAATACCAAACACGCAGTCGGCAGTATCCTACCAAAATCTGTCAGACGATTTCGCGGAAAGCGCAGAGGCCAAAGCTCGACGACGGGCCGAGCGGAGAGATCGCAACAAAGACGACCCATTCTATATAGGGCAGGATGACGCATCATCAGGAACGTCAACTCCTTTCCACCAGGTTCTTCGAACATCTAACGGCGAAGAACTAGACATTGATTCCATTCCAATCATCGACCTGGCCATTGAAACTAGTAAACAAACAACGTCAGCCACACTATTGCCACCACCAGAAGGTGCAGAACGTAGACCCAAAAAACCCCGCTCAAAGCCTAAAAGGGTAGAAATCATGGGCGACGAAACGATAAACGTCACCGGATCCAACGACGGCGTCACAACAGAAATCGCCACCGCAACTGCAACAGCAGAGACCCTCAAGAGCAAGATCAAGCGCTCCATCCTCGAAGTAGATTCGAGCGGGCTGTCCAATCTGTCCCTCGAAGAAGCTAGCGGTCCTGGGCCGGGGACACGGGGCCTGAGCGTACACGACATAGCGCGCAGGGAGGCGGAGGATGCGGAGATGGCCAAGGCAATGCGGGAGATTGAGCGGTTGCGGCTGGAGATGCAGCGGGCGTCAGAGCGGGTGCAGGTTGCGCATGGTGTGCCGCCAGAGGGGACGCTTGTGAAGCGGAAACAAAAAAAGAAGGCAGAAACTGCGCCAGCGTTAGGTGCAGCGACAGTGTCGAAAGTGACGACGAAAACAAAAAAGAAGAAGACGAAGAAAACGAAGAAGACGACGAAGATGGAGGGTGTGGGTGACAGAGATGGTGACAGTGGATCTCTGGTACAAGATACTGCTGCTGTGACCCAAGGCATAACTGGTGACACGGAAGTTGAGCGGAAGAAAAAGAAGAAGGCTTCATCTTCATCCTCCAAGACCTCTAAGAAAAAGAGGAACAATGCTGGTGTTGAGGCTGAGGCTGAGGCTGGTGCTGGTAATGCGATGGTCGAGGCTTCATGACGACCGAATGAATTACCATGCAGGGACATGATATGTATGTCCAGAGTGCCAAGTTGATAGCTAGCAGTACGCATATCTAAATAACTCCTGGAAGCCATACGTTTTGATACTCCTGGTGAATGAAGATATTACGTAGTTAATAATGAATCAATAAAACTAGTTACAAAACTAAACAAATATTCGAACAAAAAGTCCAGTACTACTAGATAAGAGCACAAGCAAACAGAAATCGATAAAGCATACCAAGTGTGTTCTTGTTTTTAGTTTCTTCCGCCATCTCGTCAATCAGAACAGGGAAATAGAAAAAAAAAAAAAAGCTCCCAATCGGGCCATTGAAGAACCAAGCAGACGCAGGCCAGGAGACGAGGAGATATGCGAGCTGTGTGATAATATAATATTCACTTCATTTAAATATCAGAAAATAAAAATGCACCAGTTATCCCAAACAATAGATAATGATACGAAAGGAACTTGGGCGCAAAGTATCGCAAGGGGTATTTACAAACACAATAAAGGATAGCGAAATGGGCATTAGGGAAGTAAACGGTGCAGCCAAAAACCACATTTACGAGTTGTCCGGATTCGAAAACAGCATTGAGGGAAGACGCCACTTTTTAGAAGAAAATCAAAAACGGGAGGCAGGATGGAGAGAGATGGTTGGACACGCTGGAGGCGTTAAAGAGGTTGGAAGATTGGACGTGAGAATGATGAAGATGCCCCCTCTCTCTCCACCAAAACACAAGAAAGATATTAATAATCCCAGGGGGGAAAAAAATTCCCCTGCTCCGTTTACATCAACCTTTAACTCGTCCGCTTAGTCAAAAACGCTGAAATAGCCCCCCACAGCTCAGGGACAACTCCGAGCAGTTCAAAGAGCATACCACCACACACGACGAAGGCGAGGACAACTATTAAAACGAACGGCCACATGTCAGTTCTGGTTGACAACCCCAACAGCCATTGAGCACGTATTTACATATTCTATAGGGGTGGAGTGACATACCAACCCAACCCACTGGTATAGGCGATTTCTTTGGTTTTGTCTTGATGCCTGTGTCTGGCTTGCCGCGCTTTGCAGCCTCGAGTTTGGCGTAGCGCTCATTTGCGCGGCGTTGTTGAGGGGTTTGGGCCTGCAGAATGCAGTGGGGGTCTATTAGCATATTTTTGTATAAAAATGGGAGGATGGAATAGACCGTGGATATATGGAGATATTGATGTTGACACATACCATTGTGAACGTAGGGTAGGTAGCTCCGTAGAGTAAGGGAAAGGCAGGCTGCTGGGTCCGCTTCGGTGCGGATGCGTTGTATGCGCGATATATATATATAGATAGGTGTTTAGGTTGTTCAGAATAGGTAACCGGATAAGGCGTGTGGCAGCGGAGGCCAGTTGTCGAATATCGAATACACCACGTTGCAACTATAGGGAGATACGGGCCAGCTGTCCTCCTGTTTCGTCGGTTTTTTTGATGTTCACGAGAGGAAATTCTCCAAAGGGTTATATAATATAGGACTTGGATGTAACTTATATCGAGGAGGTTTTGCCCTCAGCAAATGGCGGGTGCCTGAAGTGGTGTATTTTTATGTAACGCTGTAAGTTACCGTATTCATACATTGCCACGTGATGCGGGACCAGCTTCTTTTTGCTGGTTCGAACAACAGCAAGATTCAACGTTTAAGAGATGCAGCAAGAAAGGGTGTGAGGTGTGTTTACCTATTTTGATATAGATTCTACGTGTGTATGTGAAGAGTGCCCCCTCGCGCTCCCATCTAGTGACTATGCGGCGAGCAAACGGAAATCCAGCGTCTGACATAGAGGGGACTCCCGAGTCGCATCTCGCCCAGGTACGTACATGCTGTACAGAACTATGCCCGCTCCCAGCTATTACATTATACTAAAAATTCACCCCCATATAGGCATTCATAGACGTCGCAAAGTCAGTATTCATTACTCCATGAAACTCATGTTCCAATTTATCGATATATCCCCGAAATCTAACTGATGTACGCTTTTTCTGTTATGGGTATCCAGCGGTGAAAGAACAGCCTCAGCCCTTGAGAACCATCTCACCAGCCTCGAGGCGAAACTAGACGCCCTCCTGGCGGCCGTTGAAATGGCAGGAAATCCAGAAGCCCTAAACTCAAACCCAAGCGACAACCCCAATACCGAAAATGGCACCGATACACGGAGTACCGAAGACAACAACACCGCTACCTCGAAAGACAACAGCGATCACTCAAACACACGTTCCAAATGAAACTCCCCATCCCTATCCTTCTCCACAACCCCAATCTCCGTGATAATCCCATCAATAAGCGATGCAGGCGTGACATCAAAAGCCGGATTCCACACGTCAATACCATCCGCCGCAACAGTGATAGTCTCCATAGCGCCCAACCCATCCTGCTCGCCTCCAACCCGTGGCCCCCGAATCCTCGTCATTTCCTGCCTAGGTCTTTCCTCAATGGCAATACCCTCCCCACTCTTCGTATTCATATCGATCGTCGTCCGGGGAGCCGCAACGAGGAATTTCACCCCATGATGTTTTGCCAGGACTGCTAATCCGTACGTCCCGATCTTATTTGCCGTGTCGCCGTTGGCGGCAACGCGGTCTGCGCCGACGACGATGGCGCCCACGCCTGCGCTTTTGTGCGCGAGTAAGGCTGCGGCCATGCTATCTGTGATGAGGGTGGCCGGTATGTTGTCGTGGACGAGCTCGTAGGCGGTAAGGCGGGAACCCTGGTTGTACGGGCGTGTTTCTGTGCAGTAAGCGTGTTTGAGGGAGTTGGCCGCGTGCAGGGAGCGGATGACGCCTAGAGCTGTTCCGTATCCGGCTGTGGCGAGGGAGCTATGTTGTGGTTACCACCCTGTTAGAAAGTCGAACTTGTTCGCAGACAAAATATATAAATGTATAAGAACAAGAAAATTAGAATCAAACACATACCCAGTATTACAGTGGGTCAACACCGCAACCTTCCCCTTCCCCTCAGCCCCATCAATAGCCTGCTTCATAATCCACTTCGCCCCAAACTCGCCAATCCCACGATTATCCTTCACATCATCCTCCAACATCTTCTCCGCCGCCCGAATATACTCCTCCGCCACCTCCCTTCCAGTCACTCCCTCCCCACAACTCCTGGCAACGACAATCTTTCCCAACCTCCCCGCCGCCTCTACCAAATTGACCGCCGTCGGCCGACTGCTAGCTATATACTCCAACTTCTCCCGTATAAAGATCTCAACCTCCTTCGCCTGATCGGAGAGTTTGCCCTTCTGTATTAAATCGTATAATTCGACGGCGAGGGATAGGGCTGCTACGATGGCGATGGCAGGGGCTCCGCGGACGCGCATGTCGTGGATGGCATGCCAGGCGTCGCACGCGGAGTAGATAGGATCATATGTGGTTTGGTGGGGAAGGAAGAGTTGGTTGAGAATCGAGAGTTTGCCGTGGGAGTAGGAGATGGCGATGAGGGGCATTTTTTGGAGATGGAAATGAAGGGCAGCTCTAGAGCGCGTATCATCTGGGTATTATAGGCAGGTATGGGTGTTGGTATTTTGTTCAGAGGGGGATTGAGAGAACTTTATACCTGAGTGAATGTATCGCAGTCGTTGTAGGGGGTGTTTGTGAGCTGCGGTGTTTGTCTATTCTGTGTTTCATGGCGGGGTGGTTGGAGGGGCATTTGTGAGATGTCTTCATTTTTCTATTCGAATTTTGTTGTTCTGCGGGTCCCAAACACTTAACTATAATATTTACACCCCCGCAGATTTTATACTGGACTGAGCAGAATTCTGAAAATTCAGCAATGACATCTGGACAGAAGAACTTAAACGATTAGATTTCTATGGAAAGTTGTTATTTTTAATTTTAACTTAAGATTATAATCCGATAACTCGCTGAGATGCAACATGCCCACGTCTCCGCAATGGCTAACGGTTTTTGACCGCGAGTTGGTATCAACTGCAATATGACATACATGACGGGCATTGCAAATGCATTTGCGAATGCATGCAGGTAAATAGGCTATGGCTCCACGTCCAATGCCAGAAATATCCCTTATCTATACCCATAGCCATATCCACAGCATCTGACTACAAGACACAAAATATGAAGACCTCCTTTCAACCCGCGATCAACGACCCCCCCTGTACAGAGCCAAATTCGAGGTGAAATGGGCAGTCGTTAAGTTGTCTCGAAGAAGGGAGCATGATAACACAATGTATGATTTTGAAATGGTCCAAGCATATTCAGTCCTCTTCGCCAACGCCATAGACCATGTGCAGAAGCACCATAAACCGCATATCCCTTTGTATGTAGAAAGTAGCCATAGAATCGACAGTAAAAGTTGCTCATTGGTGCGTCTTGTGCGATAACAATCATAGTAAATAACGAAGCAGAGAACCGGAGTGGGAGGTGGTTTCTAATCGGCAGAAATATAGAGCACTTTTGGTTCGGTTAAACGTCAGCAAAGGCTCCTCTATAATCCGCGGCATGTGATGTTTGAAATGTAGAATGAATGATACCATTATTTCCCCTCACAAACGCATCGCCATAGCTCCGTCTCAGCTTGCCATCGACATACTCCTCCGTCTTCTCTAGGGCGATGTTCATATAGCCGTCGACGGACTGCAGCTCGCCTACATGGAACCAAAATCGCACAGCAGTTAGATATGGTGCCCGAAAATATTTATGCTAAGCAGAACGTACCTTTGTAAACCACTCCAGAATTCAACTTGACTGTGACGGGGGCGCCAGTGATCTCACTCAGAAATGCGGAGGGGTCTTTGCCCTCGGAGGCGCCGTTTTCCATTGCGGCTTGTTGCTGTTGTTTCTGTTGGTATTATATGCGGCGGACCTCAATGTGAAATGGGTGCAGCGGTGGGAGACGGAGAGAATGAAGAAGGGAGCCGTACGGAGAATTCCCTGTGTTATCTATACTGAGGTGTTGTGTGTAACTACCTGGTTATTTAGTTATTTAGCTGATCGATGGATGTTGTTGAATGGCATAAATAAGCTTCACTTCGTCGCTGAAATTAGGCGCTCAATTGTCGGCCACAGCACAGGCTACAGCTACAGGCCTGCGAACAGTGGCCTTAGGCCTTCCAAGCCCCGGGGGTTTACCTATATCTAGGGTTCGTTACGGGCGTCCATGGTGCTGCTTTTAAGCAACCACGACTTGGCGAACCGAGTTACTCCAACTCAACTCGACTCCTGTGCAAACACACTGCAGAACACACCAGTCCTCGAGCTTTTTTATTATACAAACACCCTCACTGTTGATGTCGACGGCTGCTATTATAATACAGCTGGCGATAATGCCTCTTTGACACCTTCAACTATTCCCAGTCCGCTCGAGGCATCGACCGCATCCCTCCCGCCCACGCGCTTGTCCAGTTCTAACTGATCTACCAGACAGACCAATTGAAACAGGATAGTCCATACGCACAAGTTACGAATACCATAAATTACCATGAGATCCTTCTTCAAGAAACCAGACTGGGCCAAGTTGGACGGTATTCCCGGGCAGTCGGTCGAATTCTACAAGCGCTCTGAACAGATCCTCACAGATATAATATCTAAGCAACCAGAAGACGAAGAGGCAGAAGATGATAACGACAAGGTGGACAAGGAGAATCGGCAGAAGAAACAATGGCAAGATTCGCACCTATGCGGCTCCAAAAGACGACGCCTCTCAAGGGAGGAGAATAAGCCTCCCTCACTGTTGACAAGGTCATCGAAGGCGGCCCTCGAGACAGGAGAAACGAGGGATACCAAGGAAACACTACAGCCACCGCCAGAAACAGTTTCACATGGACAGGTAAACAGTCCTCCTAGGAAATTAGAAAGTGTACTACCTCCTGCTGTGGTAGAGGTCGATTCAGATGGCGATTCAGATTATTTACAGCCCAAACCACCAACAAGTCGATTATCGGACCATGAACCGGATGAGGGCAAGGATCGTAATAATGATGAGGATGACGGTGATGATGACGACCTATACCCAGAAGAAGAATATCCCGAACTAGCACGTAAAGCCCGCGAGAGAGCACGACAACATGCTACCATCTCAGAGGGCAACTCTGTCCGCAATACAAATTCAGCACTTGGAAACCACAGAACAACCCAATCCCAAGCTTACAATAACATATCCACAGCATCCATCAACAAACCCCCAGATGAGCCCAGCAAAGACTCAGGCCCAAAAGTCAAAATTCTTATAACTTCAAACATCCCAGATACCACGCCGCTAATAGTGCAACGGCGGCTGCACCAGGACCTGCGGGACGTGCGCAGAGCCTGGTGTCACCGCCAGGGATTTGATGTGGATCAGACTGCGACAGTATTTCTCACATGGAAGGGGAGACGGCTCTTTGACGTCACGACGTGCAAGAGCCTTGGTGTCCAGGATGAGAGAGAAAAGCTACCACTACCATTAAGGGATTACTATGATGACTCAGTCGACGACAGCTCGATAGCAGTGCACATGGAAGCAGTGACGGAGAAGTTATTCGAAGAGCAGAAACGACAATTGAAAAAGGCATCCCTCCGTGAGTCACGGAAATCAGCAATAGGAGAACTCGAAGCGGAAGACGACAACGACGACAATGATGAATCAGAAGTCCAAATAATAAAAGAAAAGGAAAGAATGCTTTTTCTGACCTTGAAATCTCCCGGCCTTGAGGAGCTCAAGGTCAAAGTTCGCTCCAAAACACTTATCTCGGCGATTATCAGGAGCTTTTACGAGCAGAGAAGGATACCCGCCGACAGGAAGATTCAATTGATATTCGATGGTGATGAGTTGGATCCGGAGTCGACGGTGGCGGATAATGATATTGCGGACCTCGATGCGATTGATGTGCGAATTAAGTGATGGCGATATCACAAGATATGACATGATTGATGATGTCCCTACTACAGCGGTTAAAATTTATTCCTCTAATTTGATTTATGCGCTTCTGTTTGTCATTTAGCCTGGCGCTCACCTCTCAGCAAGCAGAATGAAGTTTTATGAATTTGGTTTTGATAATGATCCTCATAACTATATGCACTATATTCATGGCTGGTGGAAATATGGAGTATATTTCTTGCCTTTTGCTTTCCTGTTACGAGATAAAATAAAATAAGATATCCATTAATTCCTATTCTCCTGTTCCGAAGATTTTCCATACTCTACATATCTAGATCTGATAAGCGATAAGCGATCTTGGCATGTATTTTTTTTGTCTTTTGACTTGTTGAACTTCCCTTTGTACCTTATAAAGAACGTTTACTCCTCCACACTTCTGCTAAAAGCTAATAGCGAAACGAATTCCTCATACCAATATTCAATACAGATATCTTCAACTACCCACACAGTCATAACCATGAAAGTCCTAACGGCCAACTTCGTGACCTGCGCCGTAAAGGCCTGCAAAGGCTCTCCTGCCTCATTCCCCCTTCACTTCTCAGATGCAGAGCTCGAGCAAGAGGAGCTAGAGTTCCAAGCAGATTTCCTGCGCAATATCCTACCTCGAATAGACTGGGAGGCATTGGTGATGACGGCTAATGAGGTATGTTCCTCCCTTGCCCCCGGAGATTTTTGTCGCGCGACATCAGGAAGAAGAGAAGAAACATGCGTTCGGCTGACCAATATGAAAATGTGTATAGCTAGGCTTTACCTCCCTAACCCCTTTGAAGCCCGAAGGCGACGCTGTGACAGATGACTTGTTACGCGAGTTGCATCGATTTCTGCTTGAGACCCAAGTAGTGGAGGGCAAGCTGGTCTGTGGCAGTTGCGGACATGAGTATCGGATTAAGGAGGGGATTGCCAATTTTTTGCTTCCGAGTCATCTTGGTATGTCCCTTACCTTTTGCATCTGAGAGGAGGGGGGTAGATAAGTCAGGGGAGGGAGCATATGGATGTAGCAAGCACACATCCACAATTGAGGTCCTGGAGGGCTAATTATTCTTTCTATGATATCTAGTCTAATATGGGGGAAATTGACGGATCTCGATCATTCCTCTACTGAGTATCAATACAATCCCAACTATATACCCAACTCCTTGTTTCTATGAGCTCGAACCAGCCCACCCCTCCCGTTCGTCCCGTCCCATGTACCACATCTTACCCCTGCATGCGCATTTCCGTCGAGTCGACCTGCGTTTCGACCTTCCGGAGCGTTGTTTACCATTACCACGTCGTTGGATAATGCGTCAACGATGGAGCAAACAGCTATAAAAAATGGGACAGTTGAGAACGCTGAAAAGGGGCGGCTTGACCGACAATTCTATTGATGATTAGATGTCCATTTTTGCCCTGCCGAGGAAGCAGAAGCAAAGGGAATGGATGCGGCATTTAAGATGGGAAAAGCAGATGGTGGGATTTTGCATATTTTATAGAATTGTTTCATGTTGATTGGTATTTCATTTGATATGAGCTTAGGAAAGTCTGCTCAGGAAAGTCTGCTCCAAATAATCGTTACTTTTATTTTATTTTATATATATTTTCGACATTGGATATTGGACGTAGAAGTGGCTATTTCTTTTCGCTTCGTTAAATAGAACAACCGCTGACTCCATTACCTGTAGATACAATATTGTTTTTGTCTTTTCCTCATCAGACAGAGACCTGTCGACAAAGTCAGACAAGTAAACAGGAGCCACCAATGGAAAGGAGTCCCAAACCCAAGGCCCTAGCTTCCCCTGTTTCTAACGTAGACAAAAAAATATGTGGGGCAGAAAAACTTGAAGCGGAAGGTGAAGAAAGAAAAAGATTAATATACAGTTAATATAAAAAACAGGGGGCGAGTGAAGGAAATGATGAAATAAACCAGCAAACACAAGAATCAACGTAAAGGATATGGAGGAAAAAGAAGGATATAAAGAAATGGGGAAGAACAAACGACAGAATAGAAGAATACCCTTCACATAAACTCATCCATATGTCTTACCCTACACATCAAATAACCCTGGCGGAAGGGGATAAAACGTTAAATGAAATGAGAACCGAACATTAGTAAAGGTTGAAAAAAAAAGGAAAGTTTAGAAGGAATAACAACGCCGGGACATCCATTGCTCCCAATAGGATAGTTACATCAGGACACAAAAATATAAAATAAAATAAAAATTCAGGAATATCGACGGAGAAATAAGATAAGCAACGCCTCCTAGTAAACTGATATTTTTCGTCTTTAGTTTTTCTAGGACTTTCCGTTTTCACATTTTTCCCAAACAGATCGGAATTCTGCTGAAAATTATGAATAAAAAATCCTAAAGGTGAGAAGCACACAATTCGACGATTCGATACTTCGAGAAGAATGGTGGTGCTGTGGCAACTGAAGACGGAAAATAATAAACAAAAACATATAATATATCGTGGGTTTCCACGGTATCGCGTCCTGGTTTCGGGGACCCAGTCAGGGAATGAAGAAGGTAGAAATAAAACAAGAGCCGTCCGAGGTCCATTGTTAATTAAGGAAGCCTTTACATCCTGTTGAACCACAGAGACAGGGGATTCTATCATCACTATCCCATTCTCGTTCGAATTTATAATCGTATGTCAGTTCTTCATCTGTAGTCCACTTAGTTAGTTTCTGCTCTAACCCACATAATATTGAAGTAATATGATGAGATAATGCGGGGGGAAACCAACCTCGCTCAATATCCCTCAATGCATAAATAACAATCCTCTTACTGCCATCCACCTTAATAATCTTCGCCGTACAATTAGGCGTACAGCTATGATTAATAAACCTCGCAATCCCACCCCGCTTCGTCGCATCAATGACCGTATTCTCATCAATGCGGAACAGATAGCTGCTTCCGATACCGCTCTTGAGGTATCTCCGCTCACGCATATCGGCAACCTGCTGTCGTACCTTCTCACCAACATACTCGATTATCATGTCGTTGGCAGAGATGTTCTCTTCAGCATACAGACCCCAGTTGTGTATAGCGGAACGAGCAAAGCGCACGGGTTTCTTGCGTTTCTTGAGCTGGTTGAAGCGGAGCACGTCGCTCTCACCGCTCTGCATGGGCAGGGCTTGTTTCTGTGCATTGATGTCGGCGATAAGACGGCGGTTATTCACGCGGGTCGAGCGGGAAGTGGATTTGGATATTGTCTTTGCGGCGGCGAGTCTGGCGGCTTCTGCGGCGGCGGCTTGCGGGTCCACTTTCGCCAGTGCCTCACGTTCCTCACGGGCCTTTTGTACTTTAATGCGGTGAGGGAGGTATTTCGATTTTTCAGATTCGAGGATGCGTTTTCTTCCTTCTGTGCGAGCGGATCCTGTCGAGTTGTTGACGTAATAACCTTCGATCTTGGTTTCGGAATAGACGGGTCCTGTTTCACCTCCACGATTGATAGCTTTGATTTCTTTTTGTCTCCAGGCCCAGGAGGATACGTTTCCGAGGTTCGACGGTTGTTGGTCCTCCAAGGCTTCGCGGAGGAAGCGGATATCCTCGTCGTCTTTAATAAGATTCTGCCACCCGTCAAGATCCAGGATGATAGTTTCATCGTCCTCGACAGTTGGTCTAGGAACGTCTCTAGAAACACCCCACTCAACTTCGGGCCTTGCCTCTTCAACGAATTTCGGAATGACATCTTCAATCGCTTTTTCTTCCTCCACCGGTGAAGTTTCAACTAGTATCTCATCTTTGGGAGGAACTTCTTCAGCACTATCCAGTTGTTTTAATTTCAATGCCTCCCGCTCCTCGAAGATTTGTTTCTTGGACTTCTTCTTCGCTTTGGGCTTCTTGGCCTTGACCTGAGTGACTGGTTCGATGACTGCAACTCCCTCCAGCTCATCAACTCCGGGCTTAGTCTGCTCGCCAGGCTTCGAATCGATAAGGCCGAACAGCTCATCATCTTCCTTTTGCCTCTTACGAGCCTCAAGCTCTTCAGAAATCCTCTTTCTTTTCTTCGAGACAGGTGAGAGATCCAACATACTACGCTCGAGTTCGTCGACAGTTGCATCCTTGATAGTCTTGAGATCAATTTCCAGCATATCACCAGTGCCCATAGGTTCATCACCAAAGAGCCCCCGATCTTCCACAGTAGCACCAAACTCATCCTCATTCTCCGAATCAGACGAAGCCATACTCATGCGGCTGAGTGATCGACTCTCTTGCTCGTCCGTGTCCCGAGTAAACGTCGTTCTCCGTTCGTCATCCGAGTCCTCATCTTCATGAAGCTGCTGCAGGCGATGGTAAAGAGGTCTGAACTCCCTTCGTCTTGGGGGACGCCTTCGCCGTTCATCCATGAAAGCGTCGTTGGCATTTTCCAAACCTTGTGTCTTGCGGATACGAGGGAGGGAGAGAATACTCGTAAGACCAAACGGCGCCCGGCTCTTAGCCAAAGGCACCTCGCGTGAATTTGGGGTTCCAGCAATGATCTCATCGGAAGTGCCAATTCGAAAAGCGGGCCGCTTATTACTATCGGGTTCGGGAATTCCTAATTTCTGTCTCCTAGCGGCATGGCGATCGGGTTCGAGGTAGTCGTAGAGCGCAGGAGCAGCTATTCGGGACTTGACATCTTCCAGCAGTTTGTCTCTCAGCTCTGAAACAAGAACACGAAGCACCTCTCGAGCTGGATCGAGATCAGCAGCGCGTAGCTTTTTCTCCTCCTCAATATCCAATTCATCCTCTCTTTTCAGCCGATCCTTCTCTGCCTTTTCCTTTTGCTCTGCCTTGAGTCGCTCAGGACTTGGACTGCGGACGTAATTAGGATTACCATACGGCTGGCTCTCCATGTTCATCACATATGTAAACAAAGCGGTCATATGACACATTTTGTAGCATCGTTCCGTCTCCTCCTCACCCCTCCGGGAGTTTTCAAAAATTATGTAGTATCCGGTTTTGTCGCATCGAACAGACTTCCAATTGAAAAGTTTTAACCGCCTTTCCAGGTGAGGAATTGTAGTACGAAGCACAGGAACGTAGCAGTGTGCGATAAATATGTAAGGCTCACGTTTGATCTGGTCTAGGATGGGGGTCTCTTCGATCACGGAGGGGGCAGGGGGCTTCAGTGCAGCTCGTGGGCCTTCGGGTATAGGCAAGTTAGGTTTTCGAGAGGGACCCTTGGGTGCTGTGGGCGGAGGAAGGTTATCGGTTTCAGGTGGTTTGGGTTTCTCTTCCAATATTAGCGGCGTGGTATCCTGTTTCTGAGATCCGATGATCTTCGCAACGAGCCTGTCGCTAACGACGCCATCACGATCGAGGCTGACCTGTATCCGGCGCGTTCCAATACGCTGTTCCTTTTTACATTCGAGATACGCTCTTCGGGCAGCTTGCGCCGCGAGTAGAGGGCCGCCACCGCGAAACATTCTCGAATCCTTGTATCTTATCGAGCAGACACCCAGAAACCGACCTGTGTTAGGATCCGTCCTGTTTTTGATCTCTGCGATATCTCCAAAGCTGGAAAAGAGGGCGCTGATCGGTGCTAGAGTAGTCAAAGGGTCATAGCCGGTCACCACAATTTGAGTTGGAGGACCGGGACCGACAGAAGTGGCGGGATCATACGGCCACGGACGAAGAATGTATGGAGCTGGTCGATATTTGGTTTTTTGCTTGCACCCTGCACCACGAGTGTAATTGGCAATCGCAAGGCGCGGGTCTGGAGGTGGTGGCTCATCTTCTGTGGTGCCAAAGACTTCATACTGCGGTTTTCGCCGCTTCTCTCTGGTGGCCGGTTTCTTTTCCAAATCGGGGTCATAGGTCAGTTTGCAACCCTTGGGGGCATTTCCAGCAGGTCTGGCTTGACTTTGGGGAGTCGGGGGAGTCTGGAGAGGAGTGATTGTGGCTTTGACATCATCAACCAGGCGACTTGGGAGGACGGATTCGCTGCCCACAGCAATTGATTTCAGACCAGTTGACGGGCTGCCAGGTTTACACGGAGGTGACGAATCTGTGTTGGTTAGAGGGGTGAGGGCATGAGGGTGAGTTATTCCGTTTGAAATCGCGGCCCCAGGTTGAGGGAGAGAGGCTGAGCTGAACAAAGAGGAACCGGTGCTAGTCGAACCGGCTGAGGCCACCCCGTTCGTATCTCCAGGAGTAACATTTTCATCCCCATGAGTCACGGGGACAGATTCATCGACTAGAATATTGTCACTGCTTTGGATTGGAGGGTCATCGTGGTTAGTGGTATTGATGCCTGAGGCCCCACCATCCTCCGCCGCTCCTATTGCTGCTGGTTCTGCAGTGGCGGCAATAGCGGAGGACGATGGTGGATGGGCAGACCGGGAACCATCATCGTGCTTAAGCTTGCCCTTTGGTCGGTCCTGGGCAGCCTTGGAGGAGCGCTTCTTCTGGAGGACTGAGGGAGCAGTGGGAAAGAAGTCTGCGAAGCCTGCCGACACGCGTGACATAATGTTGAAGTGGATGGCTAACAGCCCGATACCGACCAGAGCCAGCCCGCAAACACCATCCTCGACAGTCGGGACACTAGCTAGGCAGCTCGCATGCAGTTACTAGGATACTAACCTCCAGAGGGATGCGATAACGCTGTTGTGTAGTGTAGGGTGAATCGGGAGCAGCGACGCGAAATGGCGGGGAGCGGACAAATGGGGCGCCTGGACGCGCAGAGGCGAGAACGGATAGAGATTGGTGACGAGGGAGCGGAGAGGTGTAGATTGCAGACAGCAGGGCTGCAGTAGAAAACAAGTCTAGTCAAGACGACGTAGAGAGTTGGAGAGAGGGAGGGAGCGAGAGCAGAGGTGGTCGTTGGTTGGGGTGAGGTTGCAGCAGAAGAAATATTTGTGGAGAGAAGTTAGGAGTTGAGTGAGGTTGGATCCCGAAAAGGCAAAAGGAAAATCGCTGCGATTTCAACCCGAGAAACTGGACAACTTCAACAACTGCAACAACCTGTGTTTACGATGGTCTAAATATTACGACTATGAACAGCAACTATTGGAAGCAGTCAGAGATGATGTGCCAGGCTTGATAATCACACCCTCTCGTCTTTCATCATTCCATCTGTGTGACTCGCATTTTGCCGACTTTTCTTGCGGAGTTAAATACCGTCCGAACCAAGACCTGCATCACCGCACACAACGTTTCAATGATCCAAGCTCCTCTCCTCCGCCGTAAATCATCTCCGTTAAGTGTCTCGTTGAGCCTATCTCCAATATTTAACACATTCATACCCAGAAAGGCTGGATATTCGATGCATCTGCTACCTAATGAGTCGGAGCCAGCGCCACTTGCGGGGATGGATGCCTATGAGACTTATCCACAGCCTTGAAACAGTCTTTAATCAGCATGTTTTCTCCCGGAACTCATATATTGATTATTCTTATTTATTCCGTTTGGTTGGATAGTGCTTTTTGATGGAAATAGTCGACGATTCCTCCTCCCCGACGTCTCCGCAATGGGTGTGTCCATGAAGCAAGGTGATCTCCCATATCAGCGCACCAGCCATTTTAGGCATGAAACATTCGATATTTCATCAAGCGGCTGTTCAATACCCAGACTTCACTCATTCTTGGTGTCTGTCTGGCTAGCAAACATGAAACATTTGTTTCCTGGTGAACAAAGTGTGAGGTGAGAGAGAGGTTGGGAAACAAATACATATAGAACAAAGCACTTCGAGACACAGCCCGACCACGATTATTCTATCCAAAACAATATACTTATACACACTTGGTGGTCAGCTATGTCCAGTTCTGTTGGTATATCGCCTGGCTTACAGACGGTTCCAGCGTTCGACTTCTCTGCCCAGATCCAGTGGGTGTGAGGATGGTCTACATATCGATCGCAGCTGTCAGGACGACTAGCTCATCTCCCAGTTGGTTCAAAATACCATCAATCAACCTATCCACTGACTTTTAGGATTCCGGCCCCATACATGTATGGCCGTCGACAGAACAGTTACTATCGCCCATGCTCTCACACTATCCTCTTCGACCGCCCATGGTTTCGACGTTATGATTATGCCCCTTCGCTCGTCTGACCACCTGGAGAATTACGCTATATTTTGCTACAGTTGAAGAATGGGTATATATTACTTGCGTATGAAGAACATACCATTTGCCAGAGTAGGAGCTCCATGTGCGTTTCTCTCTGAAGTATGTATTGTGGGATGACGGGTTCATTCATGGATAGGAACAAACTGTATGGATATGTAGATGAAGTCGATGGAAGTTTGAAAGAGTGGTAGGCCTGATGAACATGGGATAGTGGGCTATTGAAAGAGTGAATAACGATTAGCAGCAGAGGCGATGTATATTGCACTTCACAGGTTGACTATCTCCACAACAGAATCTTTGCTCTGACATTGTTGATTCGTTCCTCATAACCCTTCATATTCATGAGGTATACCTTCAGAATGAGGCCGTGAATTAGGGACATCGCTGTCATAAATATCTCCAATCCCCACGGACGAGAATTAATATATATCCTGGGCGCCTTTGTGTTTCAGCATATCTGGTTATGGAGTTTATCGACAGAATCCCACTAGAAAGCAAGAAAAGAAGACCCACTTCCAACAGCTTCCGGGACCTTATTTATAATAAATACATACCCCTTTGCTCCAGAAGGGCCCCACTGTCTCTCAAGCCTCAGTTGTAGGTTTGAATGTGTTATGCTTTGTCCTTCTGAAGTCATCTTTATTTTTTATTTTTTAACTTTTCTAACTCAACATCTTCTGAATATTCAGGAATAAATATAATTTTGTTTCACAGTTAGCTCCTTTTATCTCTTTGAGCTTGCAGTAACTAATCATAGAGAATTTGAGAAATATCGCATTCTTTCCAGGACAGCAGGAGCCTGAATAGAGGCTTCATGCATCCTGAAATGTATGTGAGAGTCTATTCTTCATTCACACGCAAAATCCATCATGTTATGGCATAAATGCAATATTTTGGATTAACTTGAAGATCTTACAGTATTTTGGCATCAACTGGAGGTAAGCTGAGAATTCCTCAATCAAGGGGCATTTCTAAAGAATATATCAACTGCCAGCACTTGAAAATCACGACTCAGCTATTTGCAAATCTGTTTCATTTCTAACCCATATCTCTATATATTGTTTTGCAGGTAATGGCGTCAGAAAATGTCGACTTGTACCCCCCCAAAAGAGGACAACCACTCCCCCCAGATGGAGATTTCTCATTTGCTACGTGCCTAGTCTATAATTGACGACATGAAGATATGCTGTGAGACCAGCCTTAGCTCTGAATTGAAAGTTTCCATCAGGTAATTCTGGCAGGCTGAGTGGAGGCCTTCCCATATTGAAATGATCCTTTTACATTCTCTTCGTTTCTGCCCTCCTTGGTTTGGGTTGTCGGGTGCAAAAAACAGTCTCCCCTTCAGCGAACCTAGAATTGTGGGGATCGTGGGGAAGCCGAAAAGCGGACTTCAATACCATCCATATGCGCAGTCGGCGGGACTAGCTTTGATTCGGTTTTATCATTGTGAGAGACCTCATGACGTCTTCGTTGGGATCTCAAATGGAAGGGGCTTGGTTAAGATGTGATGTAATAAGGGTCCATGTTGTATTCCGTGCAATACCACAAGATCAGTGCTCATATCCCAAGTTTTCCAGCTGCTGCGGGTTGAATATAATCAACTTCAAAATCATTGATGCCCATTCGCAGTGCCCTTATTTATTGAAGAATGGATTGGAGACTCCACTGTCGCTGTCATGTCATGGGGGAAAGGGTAAAAAGCCCTTGAGAGCTAATGAGGCAGACAGAAGAAGTAGAATTTCGAAATCGGTCAAATCGAATACGGATATAATGACAGATTGGCGAGCTTGATCGATTTGCAAAGGCTGCTCACTACGAAGAATATGGTGGAAATTATGTCACGTGACGCAGGGGCCCACATATCAAGGGTTTGGGAAACCTTTTATGACAGGGAGCAAGTTTAGAGGTTATTATTACCAGAAAACAGCTGCCCTTTTGCGGGTTGAACAAGTGTTGCCTGGAGAAATATTTATCCCGAGCTCCAGCGGTTCACCCGAACCGCGGCCCCCTCCTCCCCGCTTTGATGATGAAAGTAACGTCCGAGGTTTATGATATCTGAGACAACCCCAAACGTTTATTCTTAGGACCTTTTGTATCTCCTTCAGCCGCATATCCCAGGTGCTGCCATTGCCGATAGAGTTTCAGTTACACGCATCGGCACAGCTTCAACGGTTGGAGCTGTATGTGTTCCTGCCAAGTCGCAGGGCGCGTGCGATCTGGGAACCCGACCAAATTATCCGCGAAGACAGGCTCCTTTCGGTGACAACTATCCAGAGTTGGGTTCAGGAAGCGTTAAAATTGAAAGCAAAAAAGAGAAAGAAAAAAGGCAAAGAAAAAGGCAAAAACCATATTCCTTCCTCAGGGGCGCCTCACGGCTGCTATTCTGTGTTTCTGCTAAGCCCGTCCTGATTCAATGTTCAATTGAACATGAGTTATTAATAAGGGGGTATTGTGAACTAGCAGTTTGCACTGCCAGAATGTGAGACCTGTTATCTATTCTAGTATCGTGTGTTCCTTTCTTGCCCCTTGTTTTGTCCAGTATGCGATTGATGAAAACAAAGGAGCAGGAGAAAAATAAAGAAGAAATAGAGAATATTTCCTGCCCCTCATATTTAAGAATGAGCCGAAGAGAGAAAAAAAAAAGATTTTATGAAATGAATTATGAAATGAATTCGCCTTCTGCAAAACATGATGCAGCCTATCCGCAATTTTACATGTCGTCGCCCGGACCCGACGTCAAACGCATCGTGCATAGCACAGTCCCCGTGTTCAAGGAAAATCTTATTGTCAACTCAGCAGCACTGGTCTCAGAGATCTAAAAACTTGGGGGCGGTTTGCATCGCATTGAACTAGTTTTCCAAGGAGTTTGACGATGGAGGGGTAGCTCAAGCTTAAATCTGCGGGGAATTCGGGGATCCCTGTTAGCGATGGAGCAGATGGCGTGTGAGGTTAGTTTTCTGCATGCAGCCGTTCCAAGGATAGACAGACGGCGGCATGTGATACCGGTCTCTAAAAGTTGGGCACTGCCACCATGTAATTACGCTATGAATTGGAGGGAGATGTCCGGTTCCCTCTTTTTTTTATTTTATTTATTTTATTTTTTCGTAGATTTTAAATTGGTGGGGGGGTTTTTATTTTTCTTTCTCTCGGTTCGCACCGCTGCGGGTGTTGGAAAGGTCTTGTTTCAACCGTTCAAAAGGTGCCCTGGCTACGTGCCAGAAGCTACCAATCAGCAAGTGACATACCGCGAATGCGTAATGACTTGCACAATGACAAAAGGCTCAAGATTAAAACGATGGTAATCGATATTCACTGGACATTCTTCCAACACCCGTTTCTCCATGAAGTTTCGTAGTCCCGCACAGTGTACGTAAGCAAAATATTAGTGTAACTAACTAAACCAAACCAAACCAACTAATAAACTAGACAACAACAAATAACAGCATTGGCCCTTGAGCTCAGCCAACGGCATGCGCAGGGCAAGCCGAGTGGGGGCAATAAGGGGGCATCGGGATGGATATAATTGAACGGGGTGGAACATGTATCATAACCTGGCCAGTCGAGGAACCGTGGCATGCCCCACCGCCCAACTGCCACTACGAGAGTCTATTCTAACGCCACGCCCAACAGGGCAACACCCTCTGTCCGACTGACCTCCCTACAACTTTTCCCATCTTCACCGCATCTTTTCAGTCGTCTTCTTTCTTTTTCTTGTTCTTCTCTCTCTTCTACCCTTATTCTTTCGCTCTCTAATCTCCAGCTGAACAATCATTCTTTGTTTGTTTATATGTCCTTTTCTCCAATTCTCTCTCATAGACACAAACTCTTGCCTTGTCTCTCTTTCTGTTCTCCCCAGCTAGTTACCTCTCCCGTCTTCACATTTTCAAGGACCCATAGCTACCCCGCTCTGACGACTTCACTCGCTCGCGCTCCCTCGCGTTCTCGTCACCGCTCTTTGAATTACCAAAGCCACATTCCTGAACAATTGCCCTGCCCCTGCATCTAATTCCCTTATACGATTTCCCTTAAGAAACCATGTGGTATGTCCTGTCCATGTCCGCCCTTCCCTCTCCCTGCAGTTCAAGGCTAACATAAATCGTCTCCAGTGGCATATTCGGATACATTAACTACCTGGTCGAGAAAGACCGCAGCTATATCCTTCAGACTCTGGTCAATGGTGCGTGGACCTTTTATTTAATTTAGCTCATACGTGTGAAGATCCCTCTCCATTTCTAACTTAACATTCCCTAGGCCTCTCGAGACTCGAATACAGAGGCTACGACTCAGCCGGTCTTGCTGTCGATGGAGACAAGAAAAATGAAGTCTTTGCTTTCAAGGAAGTAGGCAAGGTAGCCAAGCTGAAAGATCTCATTGACAGCTCGAAGCTGGACCTCTCAAAGACCTTTGATTCTCATGCTGGTATCGCTCACACTCGATGGGCAACCCACGGAACCCCTTCCCGAATCAACTGCCACCCACATAGGTAACACCTCTCCCTTGTTAAATAACACCCTTTTTCTTTTTCAATTGCGGAAACTAACAAACAATCTTAGATCCGATCCTAACTGGGAATTCTCTGTCGTTCACAATGGCATTATTACTAACTACAGGGAGCTCAAGGCTCTCCTAGAGTCCAAGGGTTTCCGTTTCGAGACCGAAACTGATACAGAGTGTATAGCTAAATTGGCCAAGTACCTCTACGACCAACACCCAGACATTGATTTCACCGTCCTTGCAAAAGCTGTCGTCAAGGAGCTCCAGGGTGCTTTTGGTCTGCTGTTGAAATCTGTCCACTACCCCCACGAAGTCATCGCGGCTCGTAAGGGTTCTCCTCTGGTGGTCGGGGTCCGCACAGGGAAGAAGATGAAGGTCGACTTTGTTGACGTTGAATTCTCGGAGGACGGTGCCTTACCCGCGGAGCGGGCGTCCCAGAACGCTGCCATTAAGAAGTCGGCCACCAGTCTGTTGGCACCTCCGGATAAATCCCTCCTCCATCGCTCTCAATCCCGCGCCTTCTTGTCTGACGATGGTATCCCCCAACCAGCTGAATTCTTCCTTTCTTCTGACCCATCCGCCATTGTCGAGCACACCAAGAAGGTTCTCTACCTTGAGGATGATGACATCGCGCACATACACGAGGGCCAATTGAACATTCACCGTCTTACTAAACACGACGGAACCTCCAACGTCCGTGCTATCCAGACCATCGAACTTGAACTCCAGGAGATCATGAAGGGAACGTTCGACCACTTCATGCAGAAGGAAATCTTCGAGCAACCCGAATCCGTTGTCAACACCATGCGTGGCCGTCTGGATGTTGCTAACAAGAAAGTTACACTCGGTGGCTTGAGACAGTATATCACCACTATTCGCCGGTGCAGACGCATCATATTCATCGCCTGCGGCACCAGTTATCATTCCTGCATGGCTGTCCGTGGCGTTTTTGAAGAACTAACCGAAATCCCCATTGCCGTCGAGCTCGCCTCCGATTTCCTGGATAGACAAGCGCCCGTCTTCCGAGACGATACTTGCGTCTTCGTCTCCCAGTCCGGCGAAACTGCTGATTCCCTGATGGCACTCCGATACTGTCTTGAGCGTGGTGCCCTGACTGTCGGAATTGTCAACGTTGTCGGATCGTCCATTTCTCTCCTCACGCACTGCGGTGTGCACATCAACGCCGGTCCGGAAATCGGTGTCGCATCTACCAAAGCATATACCTCGCAGTTTGTCGCTATGATTATGTTTGCTTTGTCACTGAGTGAAGACCGGGCGTCTAAGCAGAAGAGACGGGAGGATATCATGGACGGCTTGTCCAAGGTGTCTGACCAGTTCAAACAAATCCTGAAGCTAAGCGAACCGATCAAGGAGATGTGCGCGAAGTTCTTTAAGAATCAGAAGAGTCTGCTGCTCTTGGGTAGAGGGAGTCAATTCTCTACCGCATTAGAGGGCAAGTTTATTTTACCCACCTATCCTGTTCCCCCTTGCCCAAAATGCTTCTAACAGTTGCTAATGCCGTATAGGTGCCCTTAAAATCAAGGAAATCTCGTACCTCCACTGCGAAGCCGTCATGTCTGGCGAGCTGAAACATGGAGTCCTCGCCCTGGTCGACGAGAATCTACCCATCATCATGATTCTGACACGTGATGGTATCTTCAAGAAGTCACTCAACGCATATCAGCAAGGTTCGTACTATATCTAAATAACCCACTCTCACGATCCCCCAGTATATATATATATATATATGATCAATCAATCCTAACGTAATATATTAGTAATCGCCCGCCGCGGTCGCCCAATTGTGATCTGCAATACGGGAGACGAGGAATTCCCGGCATCTGAAACGGAGCGCATTGAAGTACCTCAGACCGTCGATTGTCTACAGGGTCTGCTGAATGTTATCCCCCTACAACTGATTGCATACTGGCTCGCTGTGGCAGAGGGGCTGAATGTGGATTTCCCACGGAATTTGGCTAAGTCTGTTACTGTTGAGTAGAAAGGGGGTTTGCTGTATCTGGGCCCTTCTCCATGGATGTTTGTTGAGCGATTCCCACTCTTTGCAAGGTTGAATTATTACGGAAACAAGGAACGATAGATGACGGAACGTATTAATTGTACGATGGGTTTGGCCATTTGCGGGGATGGATGGGGTCAATTGATAAATGGGCAAACCGATGGATCGATGGGGGAGGAATAATTAATGGAGCATTTGGAGTGGGGTAGGGGTTTTGTTATTCATATATTGGGCGAGATAATCTTTTAATGGCTGCTCCGCTCTGCTCTACATGTTTTTGTTTCAATTGATGGATTGATGATTAATAAATTGAATTGTCCAGTTATATCCACGCAGTTAAATTTGCTACTTGCCATGCTCTAAGTGCTGATGAATACAGGATAGGAGGCACGCCTTTTTGACAATGATTAGTTAAATTCCCATGAATTCTTATTTCCCCCTGTTTAACATGGATAAAAATATCGAAGAATTAGCCCCCTTCCTTTCATTCCCGGTGATATATTTAACCTAATCCTCCATTGACTTCCGGCATCCGGGGTTGTAAAAAGCTTTTATTAACAAACCCTCCAGTCTCACGCAACCACCTACCAACCTCAACAAGGAATACATTCTCATATCATCCCACTACATCTAGTTTAATTTTGCTCAAAATGGCTACTCTCAAAGGTTTGGGAGTTTCTGAAATCCACGACGGTATGTCAATACACCATACGCCCCTCACGCCAATGCAATCGATAACCCCGCACCACACCAACCAATTGCTAACAAAATGTCATACATATATATATATATTTAGGATCCACTCTGCGCATCGCCATCGTCCATGCGCGCTGGAATGCCACCGTAATCGCCTCCCTGGTGGAGGGGGCTAAGAAAGCTCTGTTAGCCGCCGGTGTGCGGGGGAGCAATATCGTTGTGCAGAGCGTGCCGGGGAGCTGGGAGTTGCCGATTGCTATGGAGAGGTAATGTATTCCCATACTTTTCTTTGTGTCTGCTTGGTTCGGAGTATCGGCCATTGTGTGGGTTTTTCTATCCGATATAATTATCGGATTTATGAGATTCCTCTGAGGTTTGGTGCAAGGGGAGTGGTGCGATATCATGGCATTAAAACAAAAACCCCAATATAGAATATACGCCGGCTCCCAGTCCGACCAGCCCTTCGACGCGATGATCGCCATTGGCACCCTAATAAAAGGAGAAACAATGCACTTCGAATACATCGCCGATGCCGTCTCCCACGGCCTCATGCGCATACAACTCGATAAAGACGTACCTGTCATATTCGGGGTGTTGACGGTGTTGAATGAGGAGCAAGCGCTGGTGAGGGCGGGGCTGGCGAAGGGGGAGGGGAGCGCGGCACATAATCATGGGGAGGACTGGGGACGCGCTGCGGTTGAGCTTGGTGTGAAGAGGAAGCAGTGGGCAATGGGGAAGTTTTCGTAGGGTGTAGACATGCATATATTTTGTTTATATAATGTGGTTTTATTTACTTGACATCTCGCTTTTGTGGAAGAATGCATAATCTGGAGTAAGTTAATTAATTGAATGGAACTGCCTCGGGCTGGAGAGAAGGGGGTATTCCTGGCATAGGTTTTAGTTGATTGAATCTCCTGTTCCATTTCTCACTGGCAAGGGACATTGTGATTGATGGATACCAAGTAAAGGGGAAAAGAGGAACACGATTTATGAAATTTCTAAAAGACCTTATGCAGTGAGGGTTGGTTGCACGCATGGATATATCAAAAATACCATTCATCGCATGAGAACAGGAAGCTTGCAGGTAGATAAACTCTTGGAAGGGGGGTTTCAGAGAAGGGGAAATCAATCGGTAACCAGCAATGGATGCGCAGTAGAGGTAACAAAATGGCAACATGACCCGATTAAATTAAAAAAAGTTGCTACTCCTCCATCCTATCTCCTCCCTCCGCTGGCTTCTCCTCTTCCTCTTCGTCATCATCTCCCTCCATTGCCTTCTTCGCATCCCTAATAGCCTCCTCAAGCAGTTCCTTAGGCACCTCTTCATGGCGTCCCTTCGTCGGCCCATCCATAGAACTAATCCATGTCATCTCCAACTCAAAGTCCTTATCCTTGCTATCCTCGTGGGCAACGTAGATAATGCGCGCAGCCTCCTTGACACCTTCTTTTAGCGTAAAGTTGCCAGATGCGAGATCGAGTTTTTCCAATTCTGCTTTAGCAGCCTGGCGTCCCTTGCCTGTTGCAGCACCGTAATAACCCTGTTCATTCCGTTAGATATGAAGTTGCAATCAGGAATGCAATGGACAACGACGGCAATTTAAAATAAATGAAAATACCTACCCAGTAAAGCCCACTGGGTTCAATCATATACAATCCGGGTCCTCCAGCCTTCACGCCAGGAACCTTCCCGCCAGCGCCAGATTTGGGTCCAGACCCCACCTGTCCGTCAACAGGGAGTTCTACCTCCGAATCCCACCCACCAATAATGGATGTGACACAAAACGGTCGAACGCTGGAGTAAAGTGTGTATGCCTGTACATAACTGCCTAACCGGCTGGCGAGGACGGATGTGGAGATGGGGCCTTTGTATGTATTTCTCCACGAGTAGGCTTCGTCTCTAGCTCTGTCGACGAAATGTCGACCGTCAGGGATTAGGCCGGAGGATACCTATCAACATATCAACATATAAATATGTGGGATTAGAGATTGACACTGGGAAGCGAGGGAAGTTGCTTACAATGCCAATATGTTTGTCGACAGTAGATATGCGCTTGTTGGCGCCTGGTTTGAGGAGCTTGGAGGATATGATTTTCTCGACGGCTAGGACAACGCCATCTTTGCATCTGATTCCTATGGATGTGCCACCGTTCTCTACTGCTTTGACTGCGTATTCAACCTAGATGTTGAATGTAAGACCACTGCTGTTTGTTTGCTAACAAGGAGACTCAATGAGGATACCTGGAAATTCCGGCCATCAGGAGAGAAGACTGAGTTCGACAGATCATATCCGGTGCCTATGGACGTCTTTAAGAGGCGGGTTAGTGATTTATTTAAGTTGTTGTGAGGCGGTGGAAAACATACCATATCTAGAGTTGTGGTTGGGCGGGAATGGTATTAACGGGAGTAGGAGAGGCGATTTGGGCGAATACAGGCTAAGCGGAGCTGTGAGAATAAAAGAGGAGGAGCAGAGGTAATGAGGAGGAATATAGAGAGTCAATCGTGTCTGTATCAAACAATATATCTATAACTATCTATATCTTCCCGAAAAGCTTGATGGAACTTGAGATAACCAACTAGTTAACTTCTGGAGTTTGGCTGGGCTGAGTAAGCTGGTCTACGCGTCACGGGATTGCTGCCTCATGGTTCATGTGACAAGAGACTTCACCGTCTCCAAAGGCCAGATACATACATACAGAGTACATCAAACAGCAATTCTGCATTGAAGGGACCAATAACCCTTCCACCGTTTATACTAACGTGATGAATATAGAAAGCACAAACCCATCACAATCTGGGCCAAATTCCAGATCAGCATGGAGGGAGCCTCCGACGCCTTGAGTTTACTAAATATTCCGTGAACAACTTGATCGGAAGTCTACACAGCGAAGTTGACATCTACAAAATTCATTTACATATATTCAATTTTGTTGAGTTTTTGTGAATGATGTTTTATGTAAGCGACAGCCCCATATATACTAGTTGGTCTAATCCGCCTGACTTTAGGCTGAAGGTATGCGCGGATGGTTAAGTCGAGATGGAGAGAACAGAGTCCATTACGGACCACAGCAGCAGACTATCTGTCGGTTTACATGCATTGGGATGATTCGATAAGGTACGGTGGAAGAGAAACGCTTTTATGCTAGGCATTCGGTGGACCCGGTGCGTTTCTGCATGGTTAGAATTAGTGATTTTTCGAAGTCCATGCGGTCGGTGAAGCCCCTAGAAGAGAATCAATGTCCTTTGGCGGCGCTTCTTCTGATGATGATACGTTAATCGTTACATGTTGTCTGCGGAGCCAATGACCTTGGAGTCAAAGGACCATATATGGATATTCCTAATAGGAAGCTGGAAGAGAGAAATGGATTTCTGTGCCGTCTTACTCATAACCTTGGCGGCTACGCGATTAGGAATCCCATTTACCCAGTGGCTCAGAGTCCTGGAAGTCATATATCAATGAAACAACTTGTTAGTGGCATGAGGAAAGTCACTTAGATAGATGATGTTTCATCATCAATGATAGCTATTCTTCTCAGTTCAATTAACTATTAGTTGAGAAGATATTTTCCTGGTGAACTATCATAAAAGGTGCATTCAGTTTGTCAGGGGTATGGAATAAGTCCACTTAACTAATAACCGTGCCACGTGCACTCACTACCTCCCATTAGTAAGTGCGCCCCACCATAAAGGAAATATCATCATAATTGAAATATTCTAGGATCACCAATCTTCAAAAATTAATCAATGGTCAACACCATGCCTATCTATAATATAAAGATTATCTATATACTCATTATAGAGCATGTAGAATCTCCAGTAGATTGAGATCTATTAATAACATCATGTTGTGGTTGGTTGGTATTAGATTTGGGGACTTTGATCCCAACTAACTATCAGGCTCTATTCCTCTCTTTTATCAATTCCTCCTTCTTACGATGCTTGATCTTGTGATTGGCATCCTTGATAGTGAGGACACCCCTTACCTGCACCTGCCTGCAGCTGTTTTTGACAATCTGGTGTCTATTCATCATATAATGAGTAGATAACTTATTCTTTTAATATGCATTCAATTCTACCTATATTAGACTCCCCTTGAAGATCTTATCCAATTGCTGGGTCAGACCAGGTGTAAGAGTGTTTTTTATCTCTTGCATGATCTTATCTGCTGCCTCAATTTGACAATGTAGTTTTACAACTATATCTGAGTATATTAACTGAGAAGACACAGTGAAGGGTTAGGTCTCAGAGGGTAAGGTAAAACTGGAGTATTCTTCACTATCACTGTTATAGACAAGCAGCTCCAGGCTATCATCTATATTATGTTGCCTCAGGCGTTGAATGATTACTTCTCATTTGAATGAATAGATCCCATAGTCAGTGACTTCTGCTCTGATGGTGGCAGATTTGATGGTTTGATGACAGATAATCTCTAGATTAACAAGGAACTGCCTTCCATCATATTGCTCATATCAATATCAAGCAGCCTTGTTAACTGCTTCTGTATGATAATGCTTATATTGCTAGAAAAATACACTATCAAAAGATTGCAGTAGATGACTTGTATGAGATGAGAATTCAAATACAATAATGTTATAAAAGTCACAATATTGAGAAACTCTTCAGTAAGATAGGATCTGTGATTATCAAGCAGTAATAATAAATAACTACCAATCTGGTATTTTTTAGTGATAGTATTAAAAAGTTTTATCTATTTAAATTTAATCTCATTATTAGTGAAGCTGGTATCATATGCAGTAATGATGTAATTATCAGACAGATTAAAGTGTATATATCAATCTTCTAGATGAATTTTTGATTTCATTATAATCAATGACTTTAACACTATGCTATTTACACTGATGCATTTCATCACTATTATTAATCTGTAAGAATATAATAACTGTATGATAGAATTAACATTTTAATAGATAGTTATTATTCACTGTTTATACTTTTCTTCTTTTTGAAATCTGATCTTATCAAAATTATAAATATTATTGGTGTAAAACATATACTAATTGAAGATAGATTTGTAGTGGTCAAATCAGTTAATAACAAAGCTTATATTTTTATTTGATATCTATTTCAAATTTATAAGTTTTTATTTGATTTTTTTATAATCTAGTAGATATTTGATAAATCAATATATCTACATTTTGTCTACAGTAGAAGGGAAAATATTAT